CATGGGAGTTGAATCGATAGCATTAAACTGGTGATAGCAAAAGCGTCTGTTGATTCATTGCTTGGCCCACTCATGGCCATCCTTATTTGCTTTGGCTATATGACTCTAGCGATTATGTTTTTGCCAGCATTTGTCTTTTGGATATTCGTTTTTCTTGTAAGACTCGGGCAGCATTAGTTTCGATGCGGCACTGACGGCTTGTACCACGTATTGCTTGAAAACTGAGCGACTTTCCACGGTACTGATCACTGCCGTTGTATAATGGATATACCGTGTAATGCCTCTCGCCTTGTTTATCTATCACTAAACGCAATAGATAGTGGGATGCTAGACAAATGCCTATTGGTGACAACGTGCATTGTATTACCCCTTTCATGTCGAACAATTCCATTCCGCATTCATTCCTGCTGAATAAACAAAATTTTCCCCGAACGGTTATGAGAACGCTTTTCCCATCATCAGCCGAAAGGAAATCATTCTCTTCCATCGATTTTGCCTGTTCCTCAACTCTGTCAGTACCCTCTTGCAGCCCTTCGGTGATAATTTGTCTGTTCAGCCCCGTTCCCTTCAAGGTTGTCTTATTCGGTCTCCAGATTCCTTGTGATCTTTTTTCAACCTAATCGTTCTGTCACGATTTCATGATCGTTATTTATGTCGTCACTCGATGGAAATAAATTTTTGTTGATCCACTGATATTGAATTCCCAAAGGTGTAACTCGAAACAGCGGATGCTTTGCGTTCATTCCTTGGTCCTTTTGTGAGAACCGCTACTGACTTCAACTTTCCCTCATTTACTAGTGTGCGACCGACGCTCCGAGCTTAATAAGAAATTTCGAATATTTTGTGTCGCCTTTTTGCTAACAAACTTTCTAGTAAATGTATCTACTCACTCGTGCAGTCGAAACTATTTTCCTTTCTTCATTTTACCGAATGGAAGGAAAGCATGTGGCGCGTCTACAATGGTAGACGACACCATCTACTTTGCCCTTTTTATCTCTTTTTGAAACAATATCTTAGTAATTTTATCACGTTGGTGGTCGAGAAGCAAAATGACACCAAAAAAACATTCAAAACGCTCCTTCTTTGTTCCTAAGTTTTCGTTATTCCTAATGCCTTTATTCATGGATTTTATGACGGAAGAGCTGACATTAACATCTTTTTTTTTTTTTTGAAAATATCTTTTGCCATGTTCCTGATATACTAACACCGCTGAGCCATCAAAGTTCCTCCTCTGTTTGCTCTTACTTGACTGTCTTTCCTTGAATACTTCTCATTGATAGAAAATAAGTTTTTTCTATGAAGAATCCCCTTTTGAGATTCTTTTTGAGATGCCTTGTGCTTTGCACTCCCACTAGAAGTAACAGTGACGTTTGAATGGGGATATTTTCAAGATGAATGGAAGGGGAAAGAAGTCGGCGCATGAAAGGCCAATGTTTTCATTCTTGAAGACTGGCCTGCTCTGACAAGTCAATTATCTGAACCGGAAAGGTGGAGAGTGTTGTTATCCTAGATCCATTAGAGCACCCTTAAGAATTGTTTTCTGGACCGTACGCGTGGTAGTGCCGCCAAAATGGCACTGCTTCACTCCCCTAATGGGTATGTCCTCCAACAGAAATTTGGTGTAGCTCAATATGTTGACGAAAGGCTGCTGCTTACGGTAGATGCTACTTCATTTCTTAGACGAAGTTCCTAATATCTTCTTCTGGTTACCCTCGTCTTTCTTCTCCTCATCTGGTTCTTGAAATAAGTTAGCGATTCTTCAAAGGAAGTCCACCATGATGTCTCAGTTGAAGATGTCATTGAGCACCAGAGGTGGTACAAAGCTTAACGCTATGCCTCCCCTTCTACCATTCCTGATCATTATGAATTCAAGGACGTGTTTCGAAATGGAAGGGTAGCATCAAACAAGCTTGCGTTCAAACCCTCTCCGACCTGGTTGCGATCTGAGAAGTTATGTGAAGAATTAATCATCACCGTTATGTTTGCGGGGACAGCTCAATGTTGTTCCACGTAATTCAAAACAAGAATAACTATTTCTGAATTACGCTCGGCTTTGAATTCAAATTCATGGGAGTAATATGGTGTATGTGGGTATGTATGTGTATGTGTATGTGTTGCGCAAATATTTCATAGTTTATTTCTATGCAAACGCAATTTATGTGTTTATAGACGTTTAGCCAACTGCCTGTAACAGAGAGATATGATAATTAGTTTCCTATTAGTATCGTCATTGTCCCTGTAACAGTATGGGACGTTCTGAACGTACTCCTTCATGAATTGTTCCTATAATGAGATTATGCTGAATAACGACCCTAAAGCATTTGAGGTTTTTTATCAGACCCATTACTTTACCTGAAAACCACCCATCGATGTGCGAGGCTGTCTGTCCGAAATTATTCTTGGTCATGTGCTCTATTCTTTATTTTGTTCCGACTGAATCCTCCACTGACCGTTTGGAAGCGGAATGCTTTACAACCGTCGGTTTTCTGGTAGAAATTCCCATCTCCCACAACAAAAGCTCTAGTGAATGCCCTAAGGTGGGTGAGTAACAAATGTTTCCTTTCTTCACGAAACAGAGGTTCCCCTCCCCTGCCACGATTACCTCTACCTCTACACAAAAAAAATGAGTGGATGTGAAATGAGTGAGCAATCCTCAGTCTAAGTCATCAAGTTGTGGTACTCTTATTGTTTGACTAACCCAAGTGTCACTTGTCTTCCATATCGAAGTAACCAATTTTGTATCATCTGAACCGGTTTCCTAGGTGATTGTTTGTTTTGTGCTCTTCATTCATTCGTCGCAGGTAACAGCGTTATAATACTTTACCTTCTTGAATATTTACTAATAAATAACACTGGAGGGATTACTCGGGACATGGACTTTCTTCAAATTTCTTCCTTCATCTTCCTTCTAAAACGCTTCCCATTTTTTTTTATCAACTCCTCGATATTCTGTTTTTTCATTCTACCTATCTTCCCTTTTTGCTCATTTTCGGAATATATCCAAACATCAATTGAGACTGTAGGCCACCTCAGCTATATATGAGATGCATTTATCTTTTTCCTCTGCGTGTTCTCCGCACTGGTTTTCATTTTCGCTTTTCTTTATTTGGAAACACATCGCTGTGGCGACGGCTGTAATATTTATTCTATCATCGACCGGTGACGAGCACTTTCAGAGCAATGTCCTCTTCGGAGGATGTCTCTTCTGCTGACGACGTTAACACCGCTAGCGGTGATTCGACCTCTCATCATGAGGAGAACCCAGATTCCGTATCGGTCAAGGCATTGTCGTTGAATGAATTTGACTGTCACAGCTCATCTTCATCAACTTATTCACGGACGATAAAAAGTGATATTGTCCACCCACATGTGGAGCGCACACTGGGGGAAAGCTTCTCTTTGCGTCGTAGTCCGAAAGACTCACCCACTCGATGGACTGATATCTTCACGTCAAAAAGAATTCGAAAGAAGATTCATAAGCATTTTGGGGACGCTCGCGGGGTAGGACGTTGGCTAATGATAGGTCTTCGATTTTTTTATTTTAATCCATTCAAAAGTAGTGTTCAGGATGATGATCGAAGTCCAACAGATGATATGGATTATGCCGCGCAAGAGCTGCGGTCTTTATCAACAGTAGAACTCAATGGACGAGTCGAACAAGTCTTGGTAGAGTGCTCATAGAATTTCCATCGAATAATGTTTAAATTATACATGGTTTTTCAGCGAGACAGGAATATCGACCAAAAAACAATTGATAATATGTTGGGCAGAATGGAAGATGAACGTAAAAGATTGATCCTTACCCAGCATATGAAAACCGGCACGAAAAAGGTGAATATTCTTTTGGTAATTCTTGAATATGCGTTTGGTTGTTCATATTTTTGGGTCCGATCTTTGCTCCCCAATTACCTTCTGATACACTGTAATCTGTCCCATAACTACTGTGAAGTATCACGGCCAACCGGTTGTAACACGGTGTTCGAAACTTTTTCTTCCCACTCATTACAAGCTATCCTATAAAAATACAGTATTCCTCGATTATTCCATCACATCTTGTTTGCTAACTCTCCGTTAACATGTCCTTCACATTTCTTTCCATTTATGTTCCACGAACATCACCCACAACTCTGATCATCAGCTATTTTTATGGTTTCTGAAGGAAGAGGACCAGATCGTTGCTGAATACTGTTTACCGATTCGCTGTGCTGGGTTTTTAAGGTTTGCCTCCCTGGCAGGACAAATCCATATGAATGTTGTTTTCTGCGTCCGCATGAGGAATGCGTCATGGGGTGAGAAGCGGTTGTTGACTCATTTTCCGCTCTTTGAATATTGTCGATCATGACTCCCAAGGTAAACCCGTAACAGTAGGTCGGAAAAGAGGTCTTTTAGCAGTTTGCCGTATGAGTGAAATATAAATGTGTCTTAGCCGGCAAGCATGAATCAGGAGACTGAATGCGCTAATTTTTGTTGACGTCCCTCTAGAATGATATTTTCAGTCGCCAAAGATGATGATAGATGATCTTCTTGCGGTACTGGATAGTAAAAATGTTTTGGATAAGAAAAGTGATGTAGTCACTTTGAGAGTGATCCTAAGTGGAGAAGGCGTAAAATATCTGTCCGAGGTTTGTGATAATTTAGTGCATATTCATTTTTTTGATTTCCTCTCGAGCTACTCAGTGAAATGACTTCATAAAAAAAAGGCTTGAGAAAAAACTGATTCATAAGCTCAACTTTCTGGCTTCCTATAGCGGCATAGCTAGTACTTTTCAGTTCGCTAGGTATGGAAATGAACGAAGCGATGAAAATGGACTGCAGCTAATCTGTCGTCTATTTGGTTTGGTAAGTTTATTCATTTCACAACGTCTATAGACGTGCAGGCGATTACCTATTTTTCGGGAAATTTTTTTTTCTCAAATAAAAGTAAAAGGATAATGAAAATATATTTTCGATGCCGGAGGAGATCCTCCCATATATTCCTATTTTAGATTCTGGAGGAATTGAGAAATGCACCAGAAGACACAGTAGAATCGCGCGATCTTCTTTCCTTACTCATGGAAGTTGTTCGATGTATACGAACGATCGTCAATACTTACGTGAGAGCTTGGAATTATTCATTTACTTTTTGTCAAAGTGTTTATGAAAAGTATGCTTGCTAATTCAGCCTGGACTTGAACTAGTCTTGCAACGTGACTCACGTGCTATAGGCCGCCTTATTGAAGCTCTCTGTACCATTAATAAACGAAGACCCAGAGAAGTGGAAGATACTGAAGCGGGTCGTGCGTTGAGAGCAGAGACTGTAAAAATACTCGCATCACTTGGTATGGTTAACCAGGAAACGACAAAGAATATCCAAATGGAAATGACAGGGTAATTTGAAACTTTTAACATTCTATGCTCTGAATAAGTACCCTGAACTCTCATTATCCAAGCACTTTTCAGAGCCCAAAAAATGGTTAAAGAACTTACCTTGTTGTCGGCTAGAACTAAACAGCCGCGCTTCAAGCCAATCTTGGACTGCCTTCGCTTTTGCAAGGAGAGCGACGTGGATCACGTGGTTCGTGTTACCGTCTGCATGGTTGTTTCCCTTCGAAAGCTGCATAATCCAGATATATCGAACCTTTCAGTATCGGATACTTATCATCATCAACTTGTTGATTCATAGCAGTGATCGTGAACTAGGTGAGGACCAAGCATGGCAAACACGTATGGCTCTTCGTTCCGAGCTGATGAGGGACGGTTTTGGAAAGTATATCCCGGTAAGAGTTTCGAAGATACCTCTTTCATCTGTAAGAGAATGATACCTGCTATCACAATTATAGCACATCGTCCTGCTGTCCAAAAGTGACGAACGGATAGGAGAAGTCTACGGTGCATTCACTTCGATTCAAGATGATGATTTTAATGAACTCGTATCTCGTTTTGAAACTCTGTGAGTCACATCGAATATGAAACTGGGAACCTTTTACTTTTTATTTTCAATTGTGTTGCAGTCGTGGTGAATACGAAACGCTCGGAGGTTGTTTCGAACTTCTTGCCTCAACATCCGCCAATACAGCGGTCGAACCTGTTCTGCTCAGTATAATGCAGCATTTTATGATAATCCCGGAAGATGTGTCTGTGAGGTGGGTAGACATATTCCTCTTAAAATGGTCTCTTTTTGACAGTAGATTAAAAAGTTCCTCTGCTCTTAAAGAAGTCTTTTTCAGGTTGTCATACTTTCGACTGATTGAGAGCTGTGTGAATGAAATAGTACTGCATAAAAACGGTGTTGATCCCGACTTTGATTCACGGTTCCACTTCGAAACACCTGTCAGTGAGATCATAGGTCAGTTTTTGAGTTTGTGGCAGATGTCGTGGCGAATCTACCAGTTACTCGTTTGATGTTACTTAATTTTGTTAAGTTTTCGCCCTATCGCCTAAAAGTATTGAGAATAGTAGAGAGCACTTCAGAACAGTTGCAAGATGCTGAATTTTCACGGAGGTTGGAACAAGCAGTGCAAGCAAAACAGGAGGCTGTTGCCAAGCAAATGCAATATTGGCAGAAACTGGACGAATTCCGTACAGAAGCTCAGCTATTACGGAAACATGTCTGTATATATTATATCTATTCATCGATCTCAGTTCGGTGTTAAACATATTTATTGTTGACATAATTTTAGATTGAAAACCCTAGTCAACCTATACCTCCTCAAACGGTCTGTAACCTACAACAGCCAATTGAACACAGTATTCCATCAACCAGTGAGTCTGTCTCGTGTCAGCCGACTGAACCTTTAATAGTTTTTGGGAAGCAACTAGCTTATTTTGTGAAAATGTGTCCCTAACAGCCGATCAATGATTGTGCCCTGTCTTCCTTCTTGGAATTATTTCTTTACTTCTGTTTACAGTAAACCTAAAATTAAGGCTCAGCAACGAATCGACTACCTCCTGTCACTGGAGGTCCTCCAGCCCCTCCCCCTCCACCTCCACCGCCACCCCCACCTGGAGGCGCTCGAGTCACAGGTGGTCCTCCACCACCGCCTCCACCTCCTCCCGGAAGTGAGTTCCGTTTCAAAGTTGGGTATAGGGAGTTAGTATTTTACATTTAGAAATGTCGCTTAGATTTATGTTGGCAGAACTTTTCTGCGATTAAAGATGCTATAAAATATTTCAGTAGCGGGTCCTGCTCCTCCTCCTCCCCCACCGAATCTTCTTCGTGGTGGAGGTGGTCCTCCTCCACCTCCACCACTCGGCGGAAAAGGCCCGATGGCAAATAATATGGGACCAGTCATCCCCGACTTTCTTCCGGCCAAAAAGAAACGTGTCATTGATGTACCGATGCGGAAGTTCCCATGGACAAGTAGTACGGTAAGTGTCTGCTGGCCCAATTGTTACAGTAACTTGTTCTTGTCCACTCCGAAATTACCTTATTTCGTAGATTAATCCGCGGAATTTGCATCGCGATTGTTTTTGGGCCACAACTTCGGAAGATGACTTGGCCAGTGATGCTCTACTGAACCAGCTTAAGGTTGCGTTCCCCTATTCACCTCGTTTATATTTCCTATGAAAATTTGAACTCAGGAGAAGTTCGCCTCTTCAAAGCCCGGAACGAGGTCGCTCGATACATTGCAAAGCGGGAAGTCTGCGAAAAAAGTGAAGCAGCCTCAGATTGTGAAGGATGAGAAGACTCTGCAAGCTCTTGGTTTGTAAGATATACTTCTTCCCTCCCTCATTCACTTTTTGTGAGGCAGACAACATTTTTTTCAGCTATCTTGCAAGGTTCAGTGAAACTGTCTTATGAGCAATGGCGTAAAAGTCTACTGAAGGTCAGTTGTCCTTCTGATTTCTTTTTGTTGCTTAGAAATACTGTAATTGACCTGATTCTCGGCTTGAATAGTAACCAAAAAGCTTGCTACTTGATCGACTTTGAAGTTTGTTTGTTTTCCAAGGTTTCAGTAACCATATTGTAAGCAAATATTGTGTAACTTACATGTTATAGGTGGATGAAAATATGCTCACTGCCAATACACTCCAACAACTTCGAACCGCCCTTCCCCCTATGGATGTTATTAAGAAGTTGTCGGAAGTCGATTCATCAGTCCTGAAGGAAATGCCCGAGGGAGAGCAGGTCTGAGCAGCTACCATTGATTTTTGATGAAAGGCAAAGTAGTGAAGTTCTTACAGTTGCTACCCTCTAGTTCCGCAAGAAAATTTCCTTCAGAGAACCCGTTTCGTTTCAGTATCTACATAGAAGCAATCTGTTTCAGTTTTTGGCTTCTTTGGCGTCAATAAGTGCACTACCTTTACGACTGGATCTTATCATTTTCAAACAACGCTTTCAAGAAATTCTGAATGACCTTAAACCGGTGAGTGAATAAGATTTCGCGCTAAGAGCTGTAAGTTTGAATGCTGGTGAATTCCCTTCCGTAGGAACGCGGAAATCAGCTTTTTAATGAAATGCTTCTCGAAAGTATTAGCTTATTCACTTGCTGTGATGAAAATGTCTCGTTTCACTTTGTTTTTCGCCGTTTTGGATTATTTTCTTGGTATTTTCATCTTAATTATTACTTATTTGTTTGTTATTATTCCTTTCTTACGGTGATTTCATTTTTATGAATTAATTCTTGGAGAATCCCCCCGAGCGAAATTCAATTTTTGATGTAGCTTTATTTGAGGGTGTATCGTCTGTGATTGAAGCCTGTGAAGAGATTCGACGGTCAAAAGGCTTTAAGATTTTTCTGGAATTAGTTCTGTTGTTTGGGAATTATATGGATCAATCATCGAAAACCTACAAGGACACATTTGCCTTCGAAATGAACGTGCTGACCAAGGTGAGGAATGCATCCGTCTTTCCTTTCTTGAACTGCAGTTCATGAGTCCAGATTTCGTTCAGCTCATGGACACGAAAGACGTGGACAATAAGAAAACTTTGTTGCATTACATGGTGGAATCTATGCGGAAGTTTGACCCTAAAAATGCGAGGTAGGTCGGTTGATGTTGCAAATCGTATGAGTCACATAACAGACAAGACCTTCGTCTTTGTACCACTGACTGCTCATACCTAGATATAGCAATATACTTTGTAGGTTTACGCACGAAGATTTTTACCACTGCTCCGCTGCAGCCCGTGTCAACGCCGACGAACTTGCTAAAGGAGTGACATCCCTACGACAGAACGTCACGAAGGTAAGCGGAGGAGTAACTTCGTACACTGATCACTATCAATCGCATCTCAGCTGGAAAACTGCCTACGAACTTATAAAAAGCAAGGCGACGAGGATAAGTTCATAGAAGTGATGACTCCGTTCCTGTTGGAAGCTCAGAGCGAACTGGATACGATAGAGACGGTAGGTACACCATATAATGATCTGACGAATTCTGTTGTAGACTGCTTAATCGTCATACTTTTCTTAGATGCACCGGAAAATGAAATGTGACTGGGAGAGTTTCACGAAATTCTATGCTTTCGATGAGAAAAAGTATTCGTTGGAACAATTTTTCGCCGACATGAAGACGTTCAAAGAGCAGTACGAGGTGATAGTTCTTGACGATTTCTACCGTATACGTGTAATCTGTAGGTACACCTTACGTGGCTGTCAAGAATCCAGCAACCAAGGGTGGCAGCTGAGGGGCGACTTTCGCCCTTAGTGCTCTGAAGGGTAGTAGACTGCATATTTTGCAGGTGATTTGAAGTGAAAATTAGGGGTAAGTAGGCTTTGAAAGGAAGAGGACTGTGGAGAACAGAATTTGTTCAGCGCCTTGTAGACAAACCCTTCTGAATTTTCAGATAGTCTAATACCTCTCATTTGAATACAAATTGAGACATTGTTCTAGGGCGTATACCGGGAGTTAGATATGGAGAAAGCGAAAGAAGAAAAAGAACGTGAAATTTCGAAGAAGAAGAGTTCCCAAACCTTGCCGACTGCCAACAAGAATCGCCCTACTCGTGTCGGAGTTACTCGCCTTCAAACAGGTACTAATTTTGCAATCACGCTTCCCACTCTCATTATATCTTACACTTGATTTTACGTAGGTATCATGATTTTTTATTTAAGCTGTGGACTCTCCTGGTGTATTGGACGAACTCGATAAGATGATGGCAGTTGGCGGGCTTGCAAAGCTGCTTCAAGGGCCGCGAACGCCGCGAGCTACAGCCGGACGCACAAAGACAGGTGCTCAGTGATTTTTCCTTGTCCATTTAAATAAGAAATGTTAATGATGTCTCGAATAGAAAAATAGTCAGTTTGAGTTATGAGAGCAGCTTTTTATAACTTCGTTCGACTTAATGCATGAGTCTTCTTTAGTGGATAACTCCTAATGGTTTGCTGTTGTTTCGTGCTCTCTACTATTCAAGGGGTTTTTTTGTTGCTTTCTCACCCGCTTACTTTGTTTTACTCACCTTCAGGCCGAGCTGCCCTTCAACGCCAACGCTCTCGCGGTGCAGATTTTATGCTTCGTGAAGCCCTTGGTGCAGGAGATTCTGATGCAAATACAGTTCGAGCCCCATTCTCAGTTCTACCACCTGCGCCCGAAAAAGTTCGTATTCGACGAAAAGGCGCTCCAACCGTTGAGGTGTGTTTTCCCATGCATGCGCGTAATTTGTATAGTAGTTTCACACTTGATTTCATAACGATATTGCTTTTTCTACTAATTTTCCTTTCAAATCTCTTAGGGATATTTCTCATTCGTTGCACCGCTGGAGGGTAGCGTTAGATTAACTAAGTTCAAGGAAAATTCATTGCTAAAAGTGTTTTGTTTGGATTTTTTTGTCTGATGGGTTTTATAACTTTCTTTCTCTTTCTCCAACTTTTCTTTCTAAGTATAGCTTCATGATAGCATTCATCATCACTGCGTTGTCCTCAAAAAAAAAAAAAAAGAGGTGTCAGTGGTCTTCAATCTGATCAACCCTCTCACCGAAAATAGAATGATTGCTTGTAATGGCATAGGAATGATTTCGTACCAAAGTAAGCACCCTAAAACAATTATCGCTGTGGTCTTAATATTTCATTCTCGATTGGAAGAGAATATTTTGTGCTCATGTGCTACTTTATAGTATTCTATTACCCCAGGAATTTCTCTCTCCCCCCCCCCTCCTATATATTTTGACTGCATGCTCGTAAACGCTTAGTACTCTTTTTGTGTTAACCTACTGTTTCATATGTCTAACATGTGTTTCGCAATTTCTCAACTGTTCTGTTTTACTTACTACTTTGTTCAATCCACCATATTTACAGCCGATAGCATTCATACAGTAACAATGGAAAAATTTTGTTTTTTGACTTCAAATTTAGCTCAAGGTCTAGTTTGAGGAAGCAACGCTGAAGAGTAGAGAAATCTTTCCATTCTTTTTTTTTTGCATAGTTTTTAACTAAGCACTTTCCAAAATCTGTTCTATCTTACTACCTCAGTGTTTATTCAGGTGGCGCTTAGACCAGCTGAAACATCTCCCAGTCACAAGGAGAACAACGATTCGCCAACAACTGACGAGTTACTAGCCCGATTACAGCAGTACTGATAGTCAATATTTCAGTTCTAGTTTGTTGCCTTGTTTCTTTGGCCTTTATTCTGTCAAAAGGGTTTGTGTATTGATAGAGCTATCGCATTCTAATCGAGAGTCAGGTATATCTGTTATAGTCTTATCCCTCGTCACTTATTATCGTGTCTTATGTATTTTCGGAGACGGCGTCATTCCTAGATTGTTTTACCTAAAAATGAGCTAGTCTATTATCATATTCGGGTCTTATATACGCATATAGTTTGTGCATCGTTGCATTACATTATTCTTTGTAATAATATCGAATATATTGTTGATTTTCGGTTCATGTTGAGTATAATGATAATAATTAAGAGTAAACCCGATGAATATACGATCTCTTGTCTCTGGAATATCTTGCGAATTATTGTTTTCTGCTAATGGGAATAGACTTGTTAGACATGGACTCGTTATTACTAATAAATCTAATATTCAACATTTCCAGCATTACCTAGCCTCATTGGCATTATTACCTCATAGAGTCGAGTTAGCTTATTTTAAGAGACTTAGAACGTGTTTTTTCAGAAGTAATTGTAAGTGGCATAGCTAACCATTACGGATAAGTAAATAACTTCAAAAAATTTTATTTAATTGTACCTAGATAGTATATACAAGGTGAACCATAGAAGTAGACTTTTTTGAAATTGAAAGGTCAATTTACAAAAAACTGGAAATGCAAAAAGTAATTCTTAGCGGGCATAGAATAGAAGAGAATGGGCATATTGGCTAGATAAAGGAAATGAAGTGATTTTAATACTACAAAAAACAGGGGTGGCTCTGAGGTGAGGAGTCTGACATATGGTGCGGCACGGCGAGACGGGTGTCGGTACATTCACTCAGAACTGGATGGACGCGGCAAATCGCGCGGCGAAATTCGTGACGATTTAAACGACTTTAGCGCCTATCATTCAGGCCCAAATTTGAAGTAGAGACGATTAGAACGATCATCTGACCACACTAATATACTCTACTTCAAGTTTGCGCCCCAATGATAGGTGCCAGAGTCGTCCTAAACGTCCCGAATCTCGCCACGCCGTTTGCTGCGTCCATCCAGTTTTGGGTGAATGTTTCGTCCCCCCGGCGAGACAACTAGTTAAGGGATGTCGCGCGTTGAGATAACTCATAAAAAAACTACTGCGCGTTGTAACACGCATCAAATTGTTGGCATGTTCACTTCACAGAAACGTTCAAAGATCTCTGCATTGTTGTTGTTCCTTTTACTATTGAGACTCCTGCTGGAGGGTTTTTCAACCCTAGCGGATTAGGAACCTAGAAATGGAAGCGTTTCGCACGCTAAGAACCTCTCTAGCTTTCCCTCCGCTGATTACCTCGGTTACCTCACCAAAGGGCTATACAAATTTGAAATATCTGAAGCCCTCCATAATTAGAATCTAACTTATTAAATTCACTTCATACATCGGTACGAGATAAGAGATAGATGAATTGAAGACAATAACACAATAATCAACTCTAAGCAATAACTCCCAAAAACGACATGAGATGTCGTTCATCGATGGGTGAAAAATGGCTGAATAAAGTGCACTGCACTTGTCTTCTCCCATCGAAGATCATGCTCGGTCTTAGTGGAACCCCAACATTCCTTTGATGGGATATTTAACCCCTCGGCTCCATGGTGCATATTCAAGATTTGTTATTACATTCTACAATTCTTCTTCAAAATCGTCGTCGTCATCGCCATTGCTTGCCATATTCGTTGGCGGCTGAGGTGCACTTGGCTGCTGAGTGGAAGTCGATGCAGCTGCAGCCGGCTTTGATCCACTACTCGACGCTACACTGTCTCTTGCCGCTTCTGATACATCGGCTAGGATGCGTAGTGGATCCAAATCCGCAGATGACAGTCCATTGGCTTTGTCAACGAATGGCTTTGTAGGAGCGCTCGGAGCATCAGTAGATGTAGTAGGACGCTCAGCTGGAACTGTGTCCTGCAAATTGTCAGGGGCCTTCGAGTGTTCGGGAGCATTCGCCGATTCAGTTTTCAAGTCAAGTTTCGGAGCTCTAGGTGCTGGTACCACAGGAAGCGGTAGCGACTTAATCAGACGATGAGGTGGAACAGGTCGAGCTGCCGCACTCAGCAAACGGTGCGGTGGCATAGGACGAGAAGCAGGCGGAGGCCTTGGCAGCGGACCTGGCGGAGGGGGTCGCTGAACCACACTGGGAGCAGGTGGGTGCTGAGCTGGAGTAGGAGCTGCTGGAATCGAAACACCGTCGACTTTACGAAGGATCGTGGGAAACCGAGGCCGTAGAATAGGTGGGGGAGGAGGTGGATCGAGAAGCCGTTCGCTCTTTTCGGTTGACTCAGCAACAGGCTGAACATCTCTTGCTGAGAGCACATCTGCTTCCCTTTGCGAGGGAGCACCCGATGAACTGGGTTCGACACGACTTCCAGCTTTCTGAAACGGAACATGTGAAATAAGCAATACAAACCAAGTAGCGTACATCACTCACCCTATCGTTCTCTTCAGTATTGGGTGGTCTTCTTTCTAGGGGTATAGGACGTACATAGCTGAAAAGTTAGAAATTCGAAGACTCATTCAACCAATTAGAAACTGAAACGCAGAAGATATACCGTACCCATGAGAAAATGGTAGCAAAGGTGGATCAGGTGGAGGAGGCAAAGTAGAATGAGTCCTCGGTACTTCCTGATGAGAGGTCCCGTCGCGAACATATTGAACGCTGGGTTGTTGCCGTCTGCAAAATCACGTCATGTTCAAGTTCCATGTTTTACTAGTACGTAATTGTCAACGCTGAACCCCTAGCATACGTAGTCTATAGGCTTGAACACAGTAATTCTGATTCTGCCACCGACGAGATATTCTTCAGAACAATAGAATAAATAGCAAGAAAATCTCGAGCGGAACGACGTTCTACTCACATGACCGTTTGAGGGTGTCTCCTGTAGGAAGATATATAGGGGCGGGTTTGGGTGGGTATGACGACACGGTTAGCTCCACTATCGTAGGCTTGTTGATTGCGTGGGGGACTACGGCGATCCTCCATCAGCACTTTCTGAAGAGATATATGACTAAATTCTGAAATAAAAAAGACAGCGGGTTTTATGGTACTGACATTTCCGGCTTCATCTAGAACGACAGTGCTCGTCGAGGGTGAGGAACTTGAGTACTGTGGCCTTGTGGAGATAAAAGACTGAGAAGAAGCTAATCTTGAATCCTGAAGTAAGAAGTAATGTAAATTAGGCACCACACATCCAGACATTTCTAAACCAACCCTCGGCACGAAACGATGAGGTTGTTGGAACCTTCTTGGCAATGGTACAGGCAGTTGCCGCGGTGCAACTTGGTCAGAACCTCCAGCGAGGCGATTACCAGAATCTGATTGAGGAACTTGTGGAGACTGAAAGAGAAACATTTGTATCGTTTGGTTTCCTAAAAAGAAGATACTGTATCGGATAGGAATTAGCGAACCTGTGACCGCATCGGATTCCCTTCAACGATACTTTGTCGACGCACTGGAATCGGAGGACGAACTACAGCAGTGACACGCCGAGGTACCGAAGTTTTTGGAGGGAAGTTGGACCGGTTGAAGGGCCGAATCCTTTAAATGGAACGTCGAAACTACTTGCACACAAGAATGCCATCCCAATACTTACGAGAAACATGAACAACAATGTTAAAAAACGCTGACTTTGATGGAAAGTGGAAAACGGAAAGTGGGGCTACCTGGCACAGCTGCAAACTTCGTCCTCCCTACTTCGGCGCATCTCAGCACGCCGAATTGCATCAGTCACAGCTGAAGATTGGGTGAGTGCTTCTCCTACAGTCATTTGTGGAGGCACCTGAAATTCCACAATTGAGGCAACAAGACATAAGATATAAGGAAGACAAAGAAGAAATGGAGCTGTAAGCTCACCTCGCTTCTGAATCTTTTAAGGACCGAATCGCTATCCTCTTTTGTAAAACTATCAATAGACACGCGCTAAAAAACAATCTTCTGAGATTGACTATATAATAGTTAACTGATCCACTTGACGAAAGATTCAAACATGCCTTAGTACTTCGCTTTTCCACTGAAGAACCTGCTACGAAAGGAGAAGGAACTGAATTTGAAGGGAGTCCAAACAATGGCTTTGAGGGATCGTTCACTGCTGAATGGTGTTAGCGATTGGGATAGAAAAGAATTCCCAAAATATGTGTAGTAAAGGACATACATTTGAGCTTCGAAAGTGGGGAAAGTGGTGGGACTCCTGATGAAAGATTGATTAATGATGAAACAGGCACTCGTGTGTCTTTTGCAGCAGCACGCTTGTTTTTGGCAAACTCAACTGAAATGAAACGAAAAAATCGAAACATAAAAAAACCGGATCAAAAAAACCAAATCGAAAATATCAAAAAAAAANCCATTTTTCTTCATACCACGTCATCTGAATTTCGTCTTCTGTTGTGTTTTACCTCATATCTGTTCAGTGAATGGGAACTNAAAAAAAAAATGGAAAGTGAGTAATTAAAAAATACCCAGATGCTTTCCGCACATTGGGGGTGAGGATAAACCACTGCACATGGAATGGCATACGCTACACGGGACAAACATGATTTGGCGTTCATCCAGCATCTGATCTGAAAAAAGCGCGGCAAATCATTAATAGGGGAGGTGAAACCATGGACTATTCGAAGACACAAACACAGTAAATAAGGGTATAAGCATTGCTCACAGGGACATGTTCCCATTTGTGAACCAAATAAATCAAGAAAGGACAACACAAAAATAACCAACGTGAAATGCAGTATTCGCTGTGCGGAATCGCAGGAGCAGTACACTGCTTCACTTCGTCCTTATTGATTTCAATAATGTCGGGCGCTAAACCGATTTTTTTTATCCAACCTTTGCATTATAATAGTTCAACAAACTTGCATGAATTAACGAACCTCTAGCATCATGAGCCTTCATATAACTGGCGAAATCCACTTTATCCTCACCCACGCAATCAAGAATCGCGTTGAGCACACATGAGATCGAATCCCGATCTTCCTTCGATAAGCTGTTTTTCGACGTAGTTCCGAACGAGCAGCGAGGAGGTTCAACTTTTTTCCATTCTCCCTGAAAGCATTAATTAATAGACGAAAGCTGCATACGGTAGTGATTTACGTCAGCTGAAATGTGCTTTTCTGAGGTGCAAAGCAGTAGTGAAATTCGTCAAAGAATATGCTTTTAAATCGAAGGCTGTTAGATATCAAATGTCTGCACCACAAAACTTTTGGCAACAAATAACACACGGGGAATGAACGAATACTACAGGAAACGCACGCTTCTGTACTTCTGCGATGATGTCATTCTTCTGAGAATACATCCGTAATCGTCTATGCTGGCGCATGCTGCAACGACGGCTGCGTTATTTTCTCCGAGAGTGATCTCTACAACAAGAAAACTGTGAATCTGTATTAGGGTTCAATCATAATTCGTTGTAATGATGTTACGACAACGCAACGGTCAATCCTCCCAGAAGGGAAAGAATTTAAAATTGTGTATGAACTTTCTCAGCATGGCACACTGGGTATACCGTGCGCAACATCTCCATAATAGAAATAATTCAATCCCAAACTAAAGCAAGTAACACCATAATTCCGTCGATTATAATAATGATGACAGCGCTCCAAAAATGATCACTCAGAAAAGGTAATTGTTGTAACCAAAGAATACCTTTTCTATTCTTGGTGAGCAACTCGTTGGCTCTCCTACGAGCTCTCTCCATCATCATTTCACCATGAAGTTGGAGATATTTTATCTTTTTTTCTGTTAATGCTCTCCGCATTTTTAGAATATCTCGATCGGTATATACTCCTGCGTGCCTAGAACAATAGAGATAGAAAATAATCACATGGAAAAAAATCAGTATTTCTTTATGGGGCTGAAAACTAGATTCTTACTTTCGAGATTTCATTTTTTAGTGTTTTCTTTTGATATCAGATTCACATAACTGTGCATAATAGTCGCAGGTAAGGATCTTTACTGAATGGACTTCGTTATTTTTTCTTCCTTCACAAGACAAGCCGGGAACAATTTAGGTTGCAGTACTTGTCGAATGACATCCTCATTCAATACGCGACGATTACCAGTAAATCACAAGCCCTCTTCCCCGTCCGCCAACGAATATTATTTAAACGAAACCAAGAACACTAGAGCATGTTAGTATATACCTCAGAGGCGCCACGGGATCATCGTCTGGAGCGTAGTCGTATATAGTGCGAGGTAAAGGAGATTCCCATCGGTGGCTTGGCATCAACCAAGGAAATTCGTCGCTGAACATAGGAAACTTCAATTTTAAAAGGTGGACGATTCGAGAGTGAAAGTATGTGAAAGCCATTTTTACAGAAGAATAAAGAATAGAGAAACAGCTAGACATAAGAATCACTAGTTGACTACCAGCACCATCTACTTAGCATAGCTGACCATCCACTCACTGTCAGCAATGGTCTCCTGCTATCAAAACCTTTCCATTGAGCACGTGAACAATGCAATGTTATGAACAATGTAATCTCAGACAAGATGCTGAAGAAAGCTGGAGACCAAATGAAATAACTCTGGAAAATAAATATTACCATATGAAGCCGTCCTGGTTGATAAAAGGAGCGTACTTCTGCTTGCCCGGCCCACTATCTTGCGCAAGGCGACGCTCTTCACACAGAAATCTGTCCCTGATGGCCTCATGGAACCTCGTGTGCTGGAATCTCGCATAATTAACGATATTGGACACGTCAAAAGTGAGCATCATATAAGAAGTAGAAGCTAGTTATACCAACCATTTCACAAATTCCGCCATTCGCTTTTAAATCAGCTTTTTTACGGACTGATTTGCATTTGATAAGGGTCCTACTCGCGATATATTCGCATTCCCCATAAATCGTATGATCATAGTCTTGTTCAATGAGACAATGCTGAGTACCGTAAGCAAGAACGTAACGATTTGGTGGCTCAGAGTTCGACCAGTCAATCGCTGCATCGCTCATATCTGAATATTTTTCAATGGCTTGTACAGAGCGAGGAGCCACAAAAACAAGAAATTAAAGAAGGTATAGAGCTTTTTTTTTGAGCAAAAACAATAAACAGGAACACAATAAATAGACCTTATCACTCAAACGACAAGAACCGTTCCGAACACAAAAACAAAAAGAAGCCTCAAAACTGCTCCAGGAAAGCAACTAATGAGAGCGTAGCTTAGATGAATGGCGTAACAATTTCCCAAAATAGGAAGAAGTCTTAAGACGCAGGGAGACGATTTCGTCAGAAGTTTTCCTTACAACGCGTAAAAAGGTACGTGCGACAAAGAAGGCCAGCGTAAAGTGTGCAATCGCGTAAGTGCGGTTTTACCGTAATCCCACGCCAAGTATTTCGCCTCCTCTTGGGCACAAATTGGAACGACCCACTACTTCCGTCCCCTATTTGCCGTTCCACCTTTTAGCCTTGAGACTAGATATCATTTAAGTAGATTGGACGCTTTTGTGTGGTGCGTACTATACTGTGTGCCAGCTACCCTGGAATTATTGGCATTGTCCAGAGCAGAGATAACGAAGTTGTGTATCTGCATAGGTGCAAACGCGCATCCTCATTCTTGCTTTGTACTCAACAACAAATAGTTCCTCGAGTCACAAAGTTACAGTAAGTGCACCGAACGCTATTTCTTACAAACGTACGGTAGCAGAAGAACGGTCCGAATCTCGTTTCGATCACAGCAGTTGAGCCATAACATGGCTAAGCTAATGACCCTCCTGTGATAGGTCCCTCCGCCAAATGAACAAGTTCTTTGTTTTCGTAGGGTACGGCTGCTATATGCTATCACTTTCACGCTGCGAAAGTAGGTAGCCGTGTCAGGACTCTTCAAATTCGCAAACAAAGCATGGAGGGTCCTGGCACGATTAGTCTATTCCGCTTTGACGCGGTAATAGCGATGATCTTGCCACAGAGTTAGAAGTTAGAACAAAAGTGGTAATCATAAGTATTCTTAGGACTTAGTTAGCCTTGTAATACAAACTGCAAGATTGACGGCGTGGCTCTGATACGTGTTGCCTATAAAAACCTAAGGAACTATGCCATATATTCGAACTAGTTTGAGTTTTAGAGAAATAAGAGAGTTATAAGTTTGAACCCTGATCTGGGGTTTAGCTTACTTAATTCTTCTTTTCTTTCGAGTAATCGCGGAACTTTGTTGGGATCTGTGTCCTACTGACAGTCCATGCCCCATCGAGGAACGCTTTCAAATTTGTTGTTCCTCCGATGATGCGGGTATTGCTTACCCGCGCGTTCGGTTTCACGTGCTTTTGTTTTTCTAAAGGGATCCTCCCGATGGGTTTGAAACAGAGCGTGTGGCACCATGCACTTTTGGACCAGTTATGGCAAGGACCTGTCCTTAGCGCTCGCAAAATGAACGCCACCCCAATTGCACTGCTTGATTTCCTTTGTTTACTTTGCTGCAGGCTGTAGAAAAACGGAAATAGAGTACAACTCCGAATTCCTATCGTAGTTCCATTTTTCTTCATACCACGTCATCTGAATTTCGTCTTCTGTTGTGTTTTACCTCATATCTGTTCAGTGAATGGGAACTGCTCTGTGAATACTTTACTGAATGCTTCCTCAGTAATAAATAAAAGAACAGAGATCTCACCCATCCCCTATGCCAAATTCACCTAGCCTCCTAGGCGACCTATCTTATGGTAACTGATGGAACTTCATTTGAGTGACCAATATTGTAATGGTTTAAATAATGGAAAGGCATATCTGAGCGCATTAAGCATATTTAATTTTTACGTAAGCAACAAGTCTGCGTTATCGATCACCGCACGCGTAGCTCGTGCGACGCGTGCGCTGCTTCCGCCTTGAGCAAGAGCCCAATCGCATAGGAATCAAAGAGTGTGAAGTGTTAAATGTAGCCTTCAGCAGAAAGTATGTGTTACAGCTTTTTTCTCTTTGCGCGGAAAGACTGGATTTTACTTTCCAAGTTTGTCCTCCTGCACTCGAAAACCGATACTGGATTGTGGGAAATTTCTAAAGAAATGTGAAACGAAATCACGAATACTACTTTTTGGGTCTCTCATGAATTGCTTACTGGGATTGCTATAACGAATATTAGCAGGGAAATTGGTTCATGCATATCCCATGTCCGACTTTCGTTTAACCTCGGGCTACGAAGTTCATGCATGTCTGCAAAAAGGGTTTGAGGATGGAGTGAGGGGAGAGGGATTACAACTACAACGAACATAGTTTCCAAAATCTACGTTATTCAATTCGATCCCTCTGACGTTTTCGTAAATACAACATTGACTTGCGCTAGACAAACTTGACCCTGAAACGGACGCGGAGCCTCCACTTTACCCGTTAGTAGGATAATGCGCCGTACTCAAAGTTTGCACTGCAAAGGGTTTGTGCTCAAAGTTCGCAAGTTAAGGGGTTTAGAGTGACATCATTCGCCTAACTATTCAGAACACTTCATCTTCAACCGTATTCTGGGTGAGTTTCCAGAACAGTGTAAAAATCCAATCATCAGATGCTCATTTTCTTCATCTTAGGCTTCCTTCCTCTTCCATTCCCACACATGGTAAAGTAAGCATAGTTTTCTCCCTATTCCTCGTTCATGTTGTTGTCCTTCGCCGAATGTTATAATTCATATTGAATTAGCTGATCCGAATTGCGACAACAGCCTCTGTGCATCACCCGAACTGTCCTTCTTTCATCGCTTGTGTTTGGAGGCGTCAAAAAAGCGTACCAAGTGCAGAACAGAAGCTTGGGTAAATACAATCTTTTTAGCTTCTTCCAACACAAACGTCGTGTTGAACGCATCTCGCTCTAAAAATAGTAATGTCTCCAATATATTAGATATTTCCTCTTGATTTCATTGAGAGAGCAGTTTATGGCCCTCAAATTTCTATTGTACTGATGAAAACTCCTCTCCGGTTCAAGCTGTTACTGGACAACATCACCGTTTTTTCCTTTTCTTGTAAATTTTGATAATTTTTTCAGATTGGCAGCGATCACTTCGTTTTGGCTCACTTCGCATTTCAATGATGGCGGATGACGTTGAATATCCTCCCAATTGCTTGCCCATACTCTATACCAATGGAATCAGTGAGCTCGTCAAAAGGTTGAAAGTAAGTTTCAAGTTTGTCCTTGAAGCGAATGAGGTATAGATTAATTTCGATTTCATCTGTAATCCTTATCCTCATACTCCTGCATTCAGATTTTATCAGAGGCCCTGCAAGCATCCGATACAAACGATGAGTGCGGTCAGCCGGATCGTTATCGCACCTTAATATGCCATCTTTCGGACAGCCGCTTCCTTGCCAACAGTAGCAAAGATGTACAGATTTGGTTGGCATGCTGTCTGGCAGATATTCTTCGCATTTTCGCTCCGAATGTACCACTGGGAGATCCCACTCAGTTGAAGGTGAGCAACTACGAACTCTCTGGATCTATTGTCCACCTCGTTGCTTTTAAGTTGAAACATGCATTTGTAAGGAAGTGCTGCTCTTCCTAGTCAAGACTCTGAAGGGGCTTGAGTCACCGTCTAATCCTTTGTTTCGTCGTTACTTTTACTTACTCGAGGTGCGTTCTTCCTCTCTTTCTCAATTACAGCAGACTAGCAATTCGTTTTTCAGAATATAAGCGTAGTCAGTACGTTAGTGTTGTGTCTGGAACTACCTCATGACGAGTCCAGCCAAGTAATTCGAATGCTTATCAAAACAGCTATGGAAGTTGCTAATGGGAAGGAATGGAAAGGAGAAATCCGAGAAGCGTCAGATGAAAGTGCTGCTATTGATGATGACGGAGAAGACAAAAGCGAAAGCCGGGATAAGGCAAGTGTTTTGCTCCCGTGTGAATCTGAATTTCTATCTAGTATTTCAGGTTATTGCTCTTCTAATAGGGATCATCTCAAAGTTGCTGAGAGACGTAGACCAAGTTTCCGCAGAGATACTAGATGTGTTATTTTTTTATCTTATTAACCCTCAAAAGGTACTTTCTCAGACCTTTCACTTCTTTGTGAGGTTATATTTCCTTTTGGTATAATAATAAGATCTCTCTTATTGAAGTTGAACAACCGTGAATCCTACAACATGGCTCGGCAGATAATACAAGTTTCGCAAACATCACTCGAAGCAGCTATTCAGTCTGTAAGTTATCATTCGTCATCTTCATCGGGTTGGTGAAAATTCAGCGTTGCTTAAAGACTCTGGGCTCTGATATATACTGGACCTCTCCTAGGCTTCCGCAGTATATGTATAGTAGTGCTGAATAATGTGGAAGCCTAGGATTGGTTAGAAACCAGTGTATAAAATGATTCTAATTGCATGCATATAGGGTAAATATGCCTCGTGTAATAATCGAGTTTGACGGGTTCATAGCTCAGAAACTTTGAAGGGATCGATCAGTATTTGTACTAAAGAAACTTCACAGACAAAATGCGGACTAGTTGCAGATGCGAAATCTTTTGACGTTGCTGCTTGATGTTTTCAGTTACTTACGCAATCGTTACTAGCTGGAGCCCTTCCGAGAGAGTGCGATTTAGTGGGAAGCGCCCGAAAAAAGCTCTACGATGTCATACTCGAGCTGCATGGAATTGCTCCTGAACTAATGGCTCCTGTACTTCCTCAATTATCTTCATCTTTACGTGTGAGTTCCTCTTTTTTGCGAACTTATTTAATTTTCGTTTGTGTGATATCGATGTTTCAACCGAGACCGGACCTAGCGGTGGTTTTGTTTGTTATGGGGGAGAGGGTTAAGCATTTTGTTTAGAGAAGACTTGGATTAGGATCATAATGCCATATCGCGTAAACGCGGCGGCCGTCCCTGAAGTTATAGCTGCGAGACAATTCGTAGCTCCTTCCACTTGATCGATGACTAAAGACTCATTTGGAAGATACGAAAAAACGCACCTATCTTTTCAAATTTACGCACATATATCCACTGGGAGCATCAACTCAAAAACGTTTCTTCAATAGCCTGGTGAAAGAGGAGGGAAAATCGATTTAGAAGAATCGAAAGTAATACCAAAATTTATACGCGACTGAAAACTGATGGTGGAACGAGACGAAATTTCTATAAGTAATTTTTGAATAAAAAACGCGAGAAAGGCGGAATGGTTTTTGTTGTTGTACTTTATCTGTTATACATATTCATTAAGTGGAGCGTATGAAGTTGTAATTACCTTTACAACTTCCAGCTGCAAATGCGTTTTTCAATGCGCCCAGCCTATGCTTTGTCTCGATATTCACGAAAAAATCACTGACGTTCTTGTTATACACCTTCCTCACGACCAACGTATTTAGGCAGAAGATGATCAGCAACGTCTACTAGCCACTAAGCTCGTTGGTAAATTGGTTTCTAATACAAAAACTCGCTTTTACGATGATCACCCGAAGCTATGGAAGTATTATATGGACAGGTCAGCTTAGACATACTAGCTTGCTTTACTGCTCTGTTTTCTTTGTAATGTTGTGTTTTCATCGGGTTTTGAATTTCAATTGAATTTTATATTCTACACTCGTTTCTCATGACATCGACATCGACATCTCGACAAGGGTTTATTGATGAAAGTTTAACTAGTTTGTTGTAGGTTCAAAGATACGTTCAATGAAGTGCGCGAAGTTTGTGCAAAAGATTCCCATGAGATTCTCCTGCAACACAGTCAGCTAAGAGGGCAAATCTCATGTGAGTATCTCATTTCTAGTCCTAAAACATTTACCAGTTTGAACCAGATAACGTTGAAAAGTGATGGATCAGCTGCGATTACAACTGTTTCAATGATTGAAGTGATTAGTCATTTTTCGTTTTTTTTTTCAGCTGCACTTGGTAGCCTCACTCGTGATCTTGATGACTCTGTCCGCCATACTGCTGTTCTCTGCATCATAGAAACCGCGAGAAAGAAACTAGAAGCAGTTAACGAGTCGCTCATTGTCGCTTGTTGCGATCGGATGAAGGACAAAAAGGTTGGGTGAGACAGACTGCTTTTTTGCCTGGCTTATTCGCAATTCGACCTATCGTCAAACAGTACCTCTGTTTATAGTATTTCCCGTTTCTTCCATGTTGTCACTGAGTTTTTAATGGAAGAGTAGCTTTTTTTGATAAAGCATTTTTTGCAAGAGTAAAGTTTTTTATCACTTATTACACTTGTTGCAGCCGAAGGTCCGTCAGGACGTTATTACTAAACTCCTGCATCTTTACTACAAAGTGGTAATGGGTGATGAATATACCATGTCGGAGATTGCAGCTGTTGCGATCATCCCGAAGAGAGCTCTAGCCTTGTATATGTTAGCTAGCATGACAGAGGAGAAGTAAGTACTGCTTTTTTCGTCATTTAGTCTGCCCAAGTGGAAGGGCTCGGATATGCCACTATGGCTCAGCTAAAATAGAATTACCTGGTGCTGTTTACTACTTTTTCAGGCTGATGATAGAGCGTTATTTTTCATCGTATATAATTCCCTACAAAATGGAAATGCCTAAAAGGGTTAGATCGATGGTTGATTTATTCGATAAGTTGGATGAATTCGAGGCTCAGTAAGTTGCTTTATTGTAAAAGTGAAATTATCGTTTCGCTGCTGCTCTGCAGCACCAAATGTAGTTCCTCAAATGTAGCAAATTGCTCAGCGATGAGTCCCGAAAAATTTAGTGCTGCAGTTAATGCTAATTTTCGTGATATCATTCCTGGTGTGCGCATTTCACTAAACAACTGTGCACACTTACCAGTCAATTGAAATATTAAGTTAACCTTGTTACGAAAGCCCAAAAGCTTCTGGGAACTCGAGTGACTTTTCTCTGACATATGATTGGCGCGTTACTAGCTGATAAGAACATAGTGGAACAGAATAGTGGAAAACTCACCGTTTTCCACTATTAGCCGTTAGAAACAGCAAGCTGTGATAACTCAATAAGACTTGATTATAGCCAGAATATGCTCTTTACAGAGTTTTTGCCGAAATTGTGACGCGATCGTCACGTCATCGTCGGATACTGCGAGAAATGCTTGAAATCATCTCAAGACAAACAGCATCTGATGATAAAGCTCAGTTACAATCCAAAATCCAACGAATTAGCAGCACTCATCATGATCCAGCCGGGGTGAGTCACTTTACTTTCAACTGCCACAATTACCATCCTATTTCGTTGTGGTCTGATCGTTGATTGAATTGTATTGTTGTATTGATCGTTTCAGTTTTCAATTGCTCTGAAACACTTCGCTAACCTTCTCTCAACCGATCAAAGGTGCTTTGAGTATGCTGAATACCTTGTTTCGAACGAGTACACAACCGCACGAGTGGAGGAAGTTTGCGTGGGTTTTGTTGTGTCCAAGGTCCAAGCAAGAAGTACTGTAAATGTTCTCACTAGAACTCTCATTCATAACTGAGAACAGTTTGAGGCCTTCATTATAGGATTGCCTGACTCTGATATGATTCTAACTTATTAATCTTTGCAAGCTGGTCTGGTCTATTTTGCCAAGAAAGAGCGTTTTTCAGAAAGAACTCGTGACGCACTCTGTTGACGCGGGTAACATCCCCAAAGATTGTCTGACAAACATTCGGCGGTACGTAGAACGAGTTGCTCCCCTAATAATGGACCAGGATAGCACTGCAGTTAGTTTTTTTTCTCAATACTCCTAGTTTGAACCCATTCACGTTTATGGAGTTTTATGTGCTAAACTTGAATAGACAGTAGCACTTGTTCTGCATATGAAGCGCATTGTTCAAAGTATCAAGCCATGCTTTGAGAAATTTTAAAGTGTGAAGCTGCATTCTGAAGCGTCACGAAAGGCCAGCGCAACTTACTCCAGCATATTCACTTATTCTAGCTTATTTTTTCGATCAATGTATGGCTCCGAGCGATCTTCTTTTTGTTTCATCTTTGAGAACAGGAACCAACATATGAACACTATCAATCTGCTTGAAAGTCCAATCTAGCGGCCTCGTGTACGTCTTCGAAGCGTTACCCACTACAACCAAATTAGTCCACTACCTGGTCATTTACCACCTCTGCATCTGTAGACCGGTGACAATTTCATAGCTAGGAATTGGTCGAAGGGAAATGTTTTTTCCCCTCCAAAAGGGCTACAAATGATGGCGTGCAAATGGTCGCTTTTAGACACAGCTTTAAAATTTGACGTTTTTTTTTTGCGAACAAACAATCCAGTCATTTCGGAGACCTCATGCTCACAAGACTCAAAGTAAAGGAGGAGACTGATGTGGAAGGCATTTTCTACTTCTTTGCGGCCTGGCTCGGCATCTCCTATCATCAATAAGATAAGATTCCGAACCGCTGAGGGGTAACCAAAAATTGAGAGGAACAGTTTCTGTTCAACCAATACTAGTCATCACGTTTCCAAATAGTGTTTAATCCTTGTCCCGATGGAATGTTCATTTGTATTGCAGGAATTTTTACGTGTAGTGCTGCGAGTGAAATCTGATGCCGATTGTGGAAATCTGGAGGCCAGCGCTAAACTTCCAAGCGTATTACGCCTGTTAAAGGTTGGAGAAAATTCATGATTTTGATGAACCTACTCACTCTGTATTTGAACTTCTTCTTTTAGATTTGGGGAGAAGCTTTCCCTCATCTTTTCTCCAGAAGCGACTCTATACATAGCCTCTTGAAGATTATTGCTTCTGATGATGCTAAAGCAGGTAAGCCGTAGGTTTTTCAATAAACATTTTCCTTGTCTCGTAGCGCTTGATTCTTCGACTATTTATGAAACGTTTCAGTGGAGATTGGGCTGCAAGTACTATACCATGTTACTCTTCAGTCAAGTTTCAAGGTTAAAGAACAAGAGTGGTGGGACACCGCTGTATCAGTAAGTTAGAATTGGTGTTGCACACAATTTCCTTCAAGCAATACGCTATGTTTAGCATGTAAAACCCCGCAAGCTATGTAGGTACATCGCTTTCTTCCGTGGCGGCTGAAGGTTTCTCCAGTTGAGGAAATTAATGCGCGAGACTAGAGTTATTCTATGGGCATTTGCCGTTTTCCTTTTCTTACTTGGAGTTGCCCCCTTGCTTTTGTCTTTACCGTAGCTCGCGCATTCTCTCCCTTCGGTGGTTAGAATTATCGGTCTTGACTCATTTTATTCTCCCTAAAAACCTATACAATACGGCTTTGTTGAAACTTATCTCAGATTTAGCGGTTGTTCTAGTCAAGTATTCATTTGTCTTCAGCACGTTTGGAGTATACTTGTGAGTGAAAGCGATGGATTTGGTCGATGCTGCAAATTAGCTGTCCGTGTGGTATGCCGACTTCTTGGCAGAGAAGAGTGCACGACCCGTTTCAATGAAATCTATTCGGTATAGCAGTCATAATAACTTCTAAAAGTCTAAATCCTTCTAAAAGTCGAGGCACCAATCCTATGCTCATTCACTTAGGAAATCGAAGATCGTGTGTGTATGGACAATCCGGGCGCATGCATAAATGCATTACAAGTGATCTCCGAATTTCATCGTGATTTGCCTAAGGAGTTTGGTGCTCGGGTAAAAACACTCATAGCTCAGTTCGTCGTTCCTGGGGTGAGCCATTTTTGGTTTTTTTTTTGTTCTGCTAACATAGATGTTTCATTTCTATACAGATCATTCTGAGCCCGCTTTCGGAAGACCCAGAAGATGGTGCAACTACTGACTTGTCAGTTCCGTTGGAAGAACAACCCGTATCAAGGTTTTGTCTTCCGAAGGTCGGTTTTTTGAATCTTCTGATGCCCTCGTAGCTTGGGAAAGGGTTTCCTGAGAAGAAAAGTTGCAGGTGTATGGAATGAAATTATTGGCTCGCTACCTGTTCACGTGCAGTGGAGATGCTGAAGATGATGCTTTGGCCACAAAAACATTCAAGATGTTTATGGCCTTCATTAAAGCTGCTGGTGATTTGCATGAACCGGACAAAAAGATTTCGTAAGTACAGTTATCCGTTCTCCGGTGTTCATCTTGTATTTGCTTTGGCTCTTCTATAGTAGATCATGTTGACGACCACATCGCAAGAAGTCGGTGGTTGATTTGGACGACTTTAGCAATAAAAAAACAAGATCGTCAATTAAAAACTAATTACGGAAGGGAAAAGCTTTGAAAAGTACATCGTGATTTCTCGATTGCGGTTCCTCGGTTGTGATTATCTAGTCCAAACAAGCACTAAAACCTCGCCCATCAATAATTGTTTAAGTTTTACTACCATACTTTCAAAGCTTGTGCATCGATTTGATTGGTATCGCCGTAATCGCCTAATATTTGAAGTTGAACTTTCTAACCTAGAAGAGTTGCAAGTGATTTTTCCTAGAACCAAAATTTCACATGAACCCAATACATGATTCCCATAAATCTTCTACTATGCTTTTCCGTTTTCAACTGTCATTTATTTCAGTACAACGGAGAAAGCCTGGCTACGTGCAGTTGCTGGTGCATCACTGCTAAAATTGTGCTATATCCAAAAATATTCTCAAATGATTGATGTCGAGATGTTCACGACCCTCGGTAACTTGATGATAGTGAGTGATGAATTGTCTCCTGTTTTTTTCTGATTATGCAATAATGCCATTCATAGGACAGCGCCGAATGTGTCCGCTCGTATTTTCTGAAGCGTTTAAACAAAGGAATTATGAGAAACAGGTATAACATTAACATCAACTCTTCCAGCATAACAACCTTTTTATACGGTAGATATTTTTTAGGCTCACTGTTGAGTATCTGGCGCTCTTCTCACTGGTTGATTTGCTAAACGCAAACAATGATGAGGAGGAAACGGCTGTCAAATCGTTCGTAATTGTCATAGCATCAGTATCTCCGTTCTTTCATTACAATTCAACTAGAAATTAAGGTATCGGGAACAATGCCGCTCGCTTCTAATTTCGGCCGTGAGCCGTCGCCGAAATCTCATTCAATCTCCAGGATTTTCACCTAGTTAGTTGATTATGTAGTGTATTTTCTTCTCATTACTATAGCCGCACCCCTTTTTCTGCATTCATTGTAATATTGTGGGGAAAATGCTCAACAAAAGAAGACAGAGCAGATGAGTGACCTTTCTTTTGAATTACAAAATGCATGTTTTACTAGGCAGCCGCAGCAGTCTGCTAGGTATCAGCTAGAATACTTTTGTTAGTAGTTTCATGAAAATAACTGTTTTTCTCCCTCTGCCCTATTTTTGTTCACGCCTACAAATTATTAGCGGTACAAATCGAGTTTTAAGAAAAATACTTGTGCCCACCATTGTCGAGCGAAATTTGTTTATACAAATCCAATTGATCTTTCAGTGTATCTGCCATACCACCAGCCAGAATATGCAATCGCTTACTCCATTTGGCTTCTTGCACATCAGCCGATGCTTAACACTCATTCAGATCTAGCGAGTATGGCTATTTTGCAAGAGTCAGTTTTAAAAACCTTATTTTAAGCGTTCCTTACCTTAGTCGATGTTTTCTACTTGAAGATTATTTGACGTCTATATCTTATATATGTGATGCCATGTTGCTCATTCGTATATTATTTTTAGATGTTTATGGTTCGTTATGGAGCCATTTACGTCGAAGAAGGAGAGTACAGATTTCGAGTTTATATATCGAATGCTGCAAGATATCAAGGAGTCGAATGATGCATATCACGAAAAAAGGAGAAAGGAAGGCGAAATAGGTCAGGCAGAGGTCGTTGGGCAAAGCAAGGTAACTATGAGGCTCTCTTCACGTGAAAATATCGCTGTTTGAAAATATCAATTCTATATTATTCATTTTCTAGAAAATGTGGGCGTTGGCAGACTTGGGTATGTTAATGCTAATGTACAGAGGCAAAGCTACCATACGACATGAGCAACGTAAACCAGTTCTATCCAATCGCTTTTTTATTCGCGATAAGAACTCTGAACACGCTGGAGTGGTGAGGGGTTATTTTCAATTACGCATATCGTATTTTTGGTTCGAATTCTATTTTACGAGGCCTTTTTAGGTATGTGCTCCTTTTGAATTGATCGAGAGCGAGAAGGAGCGAAATGGCAAGCCGCCTACAGATCCAAAACGACGTTTCCTAAACACAACCTCAAATGCTACTTTGGTGAAAAAGGCAGCAGCAAGGAAAACGAAGTATTTCTTGGAACAGATTTTTAGCATTTCATGCCACTTTCATTGTGTTCACTAGTTACTCCTCTGAGACTTTACAGAAAACGTCGCAATCCCGAGGCGAGCGCAAGTAAAAGGAGTCGAGAAAATTCTTTCTCTTCCGTGAAAAATGTCAGTAATACCCATGTCATAGTTTCAGCGTTAGATGGCGTCCAGCTATCATAAGAGTGTAATCGAAAAGACTCAACGAATCAGCTCTTTGTAGGCTTCTACCATGAGCACGCGAAGAAAAGATATGAATGTTGAAAAGGATGTGAATCGAGATGCCCTTTCCTCGCCGGAAAGTATAGTCAGTTTTGCTCTTATTATTTACCTCTACACTTGTAATCATGTTTACTCGCTTGTCGACTTGGCAATGTTGTGTCGTCTGGCCTTCTCAGCTACAACTATATGTTTTCTTCATGACGGATATCTGTTGTTGGCTTATTACGTGAAAACTATATGTTAACAGCTAACTAAGCTATATGTATATGTGAACGATCAGTGGCTGCTGTTTGTCACTTTGCCCACCGTTGTGGTTGTCAGCGGTTTTCAGCTGCGACGTTATGGGTGCCCAAGATACCATAGGCACAATCACAGGCGGACTTTTTGCTTCTGTGTAACTAAGCCCAATACATACGTAACAGGAGTATGCGCTGTAAGAGCTTAAAACGTTGTGGGCTTCGACCGCGCACTCCAAATGATATCCAATAATATCTAGTAATTACTAAGGCAGACAGTTTCCCCCTACTGATTAAATCGTTTGTGATCATGAATAGATTAAGATGAGAAATGTACCTATTCAATGTAACTATGAAAGGAGTGAATCGAATACCCTACAAACTTTTGATTACTGTAGGTCCGCAGCCCAGCTCCGAGCAATCGCAGAAGAAAGCCAAATGATGAGAAGGAACTGGATCGAGGTGATGCTGCTCCGTCTCCACAAAGCAAGGTAGTCATCTAACTCACTTTTCTTACTTTTTTCTTTCAAGATTTACAAAGGCTGGAACGTAGTTTTTCAACCTTTTTTGTAACATTTCGTTGGTAGCAGGCAAACTTTTCAATGTTTATTTTTAGTTGTGGAACTTTCATCCTTTCGCGATTTTTTCTCATTCTTCCTCTATTTACGTTTGATCATGCGGTCGGTTATTTTCAGGGGGGAGGGGGGGAAGGGGGTTCCACAGTCTCGCACAAAACCCAGCGTTAGTATAGCCAACCGTATGCTCAAGTATGTTCGAAATGATTGCAGAAAGGAAAGTGAAAAGTATCTTCAGGAAATATTATTGCCAGAAAGTCAATGTTAATGGCAAAAATATTGTATAATTTGTAAAAAAGAAAAATCTGCTCGATGAGGCGAGCGTCTAGCGTAGCGTGCATGGCAAGCTTGAAGTGACCTATCACGTACATTAGTCTTCGCAATCAGGGAAGAAAAAGCTCACTGACATGTGTAAGGGTTTCGGTCCCAGCAACAATCAGGTGCAACGGCAGCGTTTTCTGTGCAGCTCTTCAGCGGCCGTTACAGATTTTGAACCTTGGTGTGTACTTGTGTAGAAAGATTGAAACAACATTATTAATACTTCAGAACAATGCTATTTTTACACGCAAGAAAACTGATCGAACACCTCTGAAAGATGAACAGGAGAATGTGGCGGTGCAAGGAAAACTACGACATCAAAACAAAAACGTGCTTTCATCGCCTGCAGATTCACCGCCTAGTTCACGCGGTTGGTCTAATCTTTCTTAGTGATCATGCAATGATATCATTCTATTGATTCATCAGACCATTCCTTATTCCCTTTATGCTTGACAGTTTTCAGGCCCTAGATTTATTTTCGGAACAATCTTTCTTAGCTTGATTTTATGGTTTTACTGCAACCGCTTCCAAATCGTTTACTTTTATTTTGGCTTAAAAGTTGTTGTGCTGCAGTTTGTATATAGGCCATAGAGTACCTCCATAGTTCGCGGAGGGGAGGGCTGGCGCTGTATTAATTTTGTATTCGTAATTGATGATCCCGCATTCAAAATGCATTTGAGTCGTCATGTTATGATTCCATACACGCTTTCTCTCTTCTTCCCTTCTTAAGAGTAGCGTTTCGCTCTTTTTGAGCAATTGACTAAAGCGATCCATCATCTGAATAAGCATCCGGCGATGCTGAGTGTTTGTATATACATGAGTGTCATATTATTATTTTTAGTTCGGCAGCAACCAATTTTCGTTCAGGTAAAATTTCTTTACGAAGTCCCTCCAAAGGAGAGAAGAAGAAACCTGAAATGAAACCTCTCAAGAAAGCGAGCTCTAAAAATGTAAGTTAAGCTCAAGACTATGTAAAATGTTTGCATTTGGTTTGTCTGAGTTTTCAAAAGCTGTCATGAAGGAATTCAGTGCTATTTGATGGCTCGGTTTTGTTCGTGAAACACTATGCACACGCAAATTTAGATTCCCGTTGTGGACAGGGATGATGATGCTGCACCTTCGACATCTAAGGAGCCATTATCCTCACGGAATCTGCGCAGCACTTCGACACAAAGGCAGCTGTCTGCCAAGCAGGCCTTACCAGCAGAGGTGATTCTGCTAAGTAACGATAGTTGATTTTCTTGTTTAATTAGGAGTGTTTTTGCAGAAGTCTCCAAGAAAACCAGCATCACAAGTCAGTAATGGGCATCCCCCAGAACCAACTCGCATTTCTCCCAGAAAAAATTTGAAGGTATAAAAAACATGTTTGTATGTTACAAATTCATGCTGTCCTCTTACAGAATTCATCTTCGTCAACGACGGAGAAACCTTCGTCCCCACCGAATTTAGCCGATGGCATAAATTTATCTCCAATAACAAGGAGCGGATTACGGGTATGAATTCGTGCAGCAACACATTTTCAGCGGCATATCAATTCAAATATACAGATCTCATCGAGAGGTAAATCGCGAACTCTTCCTCTTTCTACCTCAACGCCAATGCCTGGTGTAATAAGCCATTCCGAAGCACAAAAGAAACGAGCTCGGCGAGAATCTTCTCCCACGCAACCGCAACCCATTGATGATCTCGAAGAACCCCGACGAAAAAAACCAATTGCTGCCGTGAAGTGAGTTTATTCGACAACCATAGAAGGAGACCTCTACATATCTGAGTCTAGATCGAGGACGCCTTCTAAACAGTCAAAAACACCAAACGGATCACCTGCCAAGGTAAAGACTGCATCGAAGCCTTCACCACGTTCTAAACGAAGTCGAAGGCCCCGAGGGAAAGCCTTATAATTTGGTACTGTATATTGTTATCGTATACAAAATGAAGTATTGCTATAATGAGTACTGTACTTGACGAATTGTGTATATTCCACGAATATTTGAATCGGATTCATTTAATTTATCACCCGTTTTTCTTACATATTACGTCATAGCGAATTTATGCTCAAACAATTACAATTGCTAGTAGTTTCAAACTGAGTGACAAACCTATGTAAGTGATATTAACTTGGCCTAGCTATGTTTAACTTGGGTGTCGATTTTACCCTTCGTTTCTCGTTCTTTTTTTATTACAGGGTCTTCTATAATGTGTAGGAAGTTGTGGTTCAAGAAACGGCAGAGCTGAAAAAAAGGTTCAATATCATTGGAAATGTGTAAAACATGATATTGCAAGGTTGACGAACCTGCATTGATTGTGCCGATAAATTGGTAAAATGACATGCGAAAAGCAAAAGATTCCGTGGTTGAACATGCCATGCAAATCGCATGAACACGGATGAATACATACACAGTGCTACGGTCATGTTACCAGAGATCATATCGGGATTTTTCTGAAGTAATTCGTAATAGTAAGCCACGAATAAGTAATGTAAACCCACAACATACCTTTAAGTCGGCAATAGCCGCAAGAGGAATGCCCCAGTTAGCAGCGGGTCCCCAGAAATGTGTCGACATAAAATAATCGGCCCATTCTTTAGCACTGTGTCGGCGAAAGTACGTTGTGATTGCTGAGGCAACTTTCGCCATATCTGGAAACTGTATAGTTGAATCGGGTGGTGAGATCGTATATGATGCGATCGTAATCCGACACGAAAGAATAAACGCAAAGATTACGACAAAGTACGAAACAAGGTACGAAGAAAGTCAACGAACGGAATGACCCTACCGATGAATGAGGTTCGACAAAAGGTGAAATGAACTCGAGAACAAACGAACGGAATGTGTCGTAACACAGATAACGATGATAAGACAAAAGAAATCGATGCACTAGATAGGAGAATCGAGTTCTCTCCAATTAAATGGCAGAACTGTTCTTTCCATAACATAGAAACGAAAAACAAATTATGTCTTTAATCTAATTCGTGAATAACAGCGCATGCATCATGCATCACGGTTGTTGCACCCCAGAATGTAGTAAATAAATAAATACACTTGCAAAAGTTCCTGGACAGCAAGGCCTAGTAGCAAAGATAAATTTCATTGGCATAAGTCAACAGGCTACCATACTCATAGGCATAATCTAATTGAATATTGATTTAAATGGCGCTATCTTAATGGGGCTACATTCTATTACGAATAGGCAAAGGTGGTAACACCACACCACCTGATAATGGTTGAACGTAATGAGATAGATGAGACACGAGATGGTGCAAAGATTGACAACACCCGCCATATATACGACGCACAACGAGATACCCTTCACCCAGACATGGCCACGCCACTGTGGAGAGCTGTTGGGCACATCACATCATTGCCCAAGTGGCCATGAAGTGCAGCTAATCTAAGGTTCACGTACTGTCTTATCAGTTTGTTTCGAACATCCGACTAGGATGCCACGGCCGTTATATCACTGATTGCTTTTATTAGTTTTATGGCAGTTCTCGAAGAGGCGAGAAACGTAGAGAATACGCTTGAAACGGCGTATTTGCCGACAAAACGACTGTAAACACTCTAGAAGTTAAATCATAGTTCGAGAAGAGGGACAACATTGTGCTCCACAACCGAATTGCTCGAATAGTCAGATATTAGTGAAAACTATTCTGACTCATTTGAGACTCTCGTCCATGGCGCTTTAGCCTGAAAGGCTTTTAAAAGCCGACTGAACTCACTCCAAAGCAGTTTTGCCAAGCCTCTCTCATCGGCGGCCTATTGGACCCGTGCATCGCTCAGATATGAGCATGAGCTCAGTGTTTGATATGTAGATGTGAAGCAGACACCGTCAAAAACAAGGAAAGAGCGATTGCTTTTCTCTAGTTCAGGGACATTAAAAGTAGTTCCCCTTATCCGCGCAGGTGGGCTTACTGCTGGCGTGCCAGCTCGAGCGGAAGTAGAAAGCCGGCGCGACATCGCCAGTGCGAGTGGAGGTGGCAACCCGTGCCATATTGATGAGAGACAACAAAATGGGCTTTTTGAAAGAAAAGAGATTCGAGTGATTGAGTCACTTACACAGCGTGAAGAGTTGAACAAACATCAGTCAGCATTAACAGCTCTTGAGTGTTGAGTGGAATGGACGAGTTGTCCGGTAAAAACAAGTGCCGCTCTACTGCGGTGACGAGCTGCCTTCCGGGGATCTCTTATTCTCTTTCCTCGCTCTTTCTCCACATCGAGAAGGATGGTGGATTGAGTGAGGTGGTCCTATGTTATTGATGCTTATTTCGCTTCATATCAACTGTGGATTTGATATGATCTGTCCAGCCCAGAGAACAGTTCCATGTTGGTTTCCACCTCGTTCGTGATTGATGAAAGCAGATCAACGAAAAACGTGTCGGTCCCCTTCCCAACGGTTGAATACCCTGGATCTCTGTCGAGGAAAATAGATTCCCTCCTACAACTCTTCTACATGTCAACTGCAGATGCCCTCGGTTTCAATCTGCCCATGCTAGTCGGGATTGTTCCCACTAAAAGCGCAGCCAAGCGTGAAGCTTCCCAGATACAGTATAGAAGTACCTCAAATTCTGAAGTCATCGAATAGTTTCCACACATAAGTTGCACAATCGTTCCTAGCTTCGCGCTTGAACCCCGCCCCACTTGTTTTGCACTCGTGACCTTCCCACTTCCTGTGAGCATGCCATTTTCACTTGCTCAAGTTCTACTTTAAACCACCCGACTTCGAATCAACTACTATCATTCGGATATATGCACGTCTGAAGTGAAATAAGGAACTCAGGCTGCGAACGATGCGAGGAGGGCTGCAGTGTTTCCTGCCCGACACCACTCACGCATGAAACACTCGAAGCTTTGCATTGGCCAGCAATCAATATTACTTTCCATCTAGTCGTAATTACTCGGAGTATCGGCTCAGTGACGAAAAGGATAAAACGGGAATCTATTAAATCCTCGAAGCCCTAGGTCAACACCACAGGTATTACCCACACCCAAGATAACACTCACACTGTAAATATAAGCGTAAGGTCCGTCTATGAGACGGAAACTAACCGATGCATTGGAATCATCCTTTCTTCAGGTATTTTCAAAACATTTTTCTCCACGTTGTTTATGTTTTTCTCTTCATGCTTATCACGCTTTCAGAATGGATCCTATGCTTCCATCTCCGAATCGTGGTCGCAGTTTTGGGCAAAAACCATATAGAGGAGGTGGAGCGAATTGGAGAGGTAAAATTGTGAAACATTTCAGATAAAAAAGCGACACGAGCCCATTAAAAGCGTAAAGCCTTCGCTTCAAACTCCCAGAGGCCTTACTCACCTCAATGTACTTTTGTGGAAAGTGAAAAGCTAAAAAGTTTCGGCGAGTAAGTCAATTGCATGTAAAAATATGAAGTAACCATGGCTGAGGTACAGCCAAAATCTCACACACATTGCAACTGGCTGATTGGGTACAAGAAACAGTCACGTAGGCTCATTTGAATAAGTGGCAGCTCGAAGCTCATAGAACTCACTGGTTGTGCAATTCGTGTAGTATACGTGGACCAGTATTTCATTACCTGATCGGCATCGTTTGCGGATTGGCAGACGCTTCTATCCTTTCCATATGTTACAACATTTAATTCCTGACGACTAGGTGAAATGGTTCAAAGATATACCAGCCGCTATACATTGTGCGTTAAGGATCAAACACAAGCGAACGTCAGCAATATCCGAGTCCATACCAGGACGTTCGCAGTAACCCCAATGGTTGGTCCGATCCGCGGTACTCGTTCGGTCGTGGCAATCAACACCAGTCCAACCGTTGGCAAGGCAGACAATCTTACGGAACTCCTCGAACTCATGCTTCAGGATCCTATAATAAGAAGCAATTTGAACAACGAAAGGTAAATGCTAATAAAATTCTATTACGCATTTGAAACGTGACCGCCCACTCAAACAATTTGCAGAGGAGCTTACAGAAATCTTTGGCAAGGCCTCAGTAAAGCTTGAGGAGTGTGACACACCCTTTAATGGGTGTGTATGTCCTTCAATATCTTCCTTAAGGCAAGAGCATTTCAATGCATAGCAGCACACATTGATAAACATGGACTGCCGGTGGCTGAAATCGTTTTGATCGGCCTGTTCTGCAAAGATGCCATGATTTTTTCCCGTATAGTTTCTCAAAAGTTGACAGTCGAGGGTGATGAACGGCGTTCCCCCTCGGCCAAGGGTGAAGGGAAAATCACCCACCCCTCTTCCCAACGCGCGAAAAGACAACAATCGTGCCCCGACTTTACGTCCATCCTGATACTTTACGTCCTTCTCCAGTCCCAGGCTTTTTGAGCGGGGCATGCGATTCTACTTTGTTCCAGCCTGGAATCGTGTAGAAAAAAGCCATGAACAGGAAATCCCGCTGTCCCGAGAAGTAGCTACAGTAGGTTAGCAATTTTAATGAAAGATGAGTGAATGGAGCACATCATGGAAGGAAGCAGTCCGCCAGTACAGTTTCTGCCCTTCAACATGCGTTAAGTGTAAATCGATTGCATGTGTGCAAAATCACAGGCTCTCCTTACAATAACCCGTTACTAGAGAATCTTGGAGTCCGAATGGAGCCTAGGAATAGCGAATAATGGAAGAGAGGGTAAAGCATAGGTAAAATGTAAGTAGAATGCCCACATAAATACAGAAATGCAACTGAAATCAACAGAATCTATGAGGATAAGTCACAAACCAACCGTTAGCCCTATGACAGGCCATCGTCTGAAAACCATTAAAGTTTTGGTTCTGTTCGCGGTATCGGAACGACAGGCATTCAGCTAGCTTTTCAGTTATTCCATCTATTAAGCAGAATGTGCAATGCTACGCATTCATTTCGAAGCGCTCTCTTATGCACACCTTTTTTTGTAACACCGCTGTACATTATACGTGATGTGGTTTTTAAAGTATTTTTCATTGATAGCTTTGAAACAAAACTTCAACAAAAGGTGGTATGTTTAAGCTAAACATTAATTAAGCCAAGAGATACAACACTTACGATTTTAGGAGGCGGATATCCGTGCTTATGTGATCCCAGCAATGACAGGCAATCCCTGGAAACACCTGGAGGAACAACGAAGCGCCGAAGGTAGTTCAGCGTGATTAATACAATGATGTAAAATTACTAACATAATAAACATTTGCCGGCTTCATGTACATCACATGGGTACATTAAAAGAGACGACTACAGTCTACAAGACTCCTACAGGAAACTGGACAGTTTGAGAGAAGATTAGTGGTTTTCTCGCTTACAATATGTCTCTTTATAATTTTTATATAATTTAATAAACAACATCATTCCCAATGAATGCGTTACTCGTGAATAAGTACAAACGTAATAGACACAAGCAAATCCGGCTGACATCAAATCAAAACACATATAAAAAGGGTTAGGTGCCGACAGACCAACCAGTGAGCGAAAGGAGCTTCAGCGATCACCTGAAACAACCGCCATAAGTATTTGGTTCAGAATATTGTAATGCAACTAAACTCATTCTATTCAATTTAAATGAGTGGGAAGATCTTTCCACCTATGAAATTAAGAACCATCTCTGTCACAAACTAAAAAAAAAATAAGTAAAAGTTCAACTTGAAAACTGCACTGAAATGGAAGAGAAAAAATTCAATCTAACGAGAACATAAGAGCTCATACAGGTGTATTTTTGATAGTTCCTTTCTAATAGCTTGAAGTTCTAAACACAAAAAAAGCTGCCAAAAAAGCAGGCAGTAGCATAATTCTTTCTCACTAATATGTAGGCTTACATAAGTCCGACAGAATTTTATAGTGAAAACAAGGACAGTATTTCTATGAAGGAGGTCTGAGCAACTGTTATGCGTTATCAAGAATTTTTATAAGATAAGATCATAAGATTTTAATAACCGCATCGAGCCGAATGTCTTTCATGTAGGTATGATCTTGCTTGAAAAGATATAAAGGGGAAGTATATACTCTAAAAATCCCTTAAGCTTTACAACGAGCGTTATTAGTTAACCTCACTGTATCAAAATATAGAAAACAAGCCCTGACAAGGAATCTGCAAAAGCATGGCAGCTTCTAGAGAAAAGAAGGTAGAGTAGGGAAAACAAAAAAGATAGCTTCACGACAAGAGCGAAGAATTCCCTGTCCGCTGAAGGAGTCTGATGCTGCATGGGAATAAAGGCTCCGCTATACCCTTTCTCGAACAGAACTACGACCCAAAGAAGAAAATTTTTCAAATGAATACTGTCTCACAAGGCTGGCGAGTTATGGGCAAAATTTCGGCCTCGGACAGAACTCGAACCCGTACTATCCGGACACCTGGCTCTTATCCCGCACACTATCGAGACCAAGCTTGCCCCCACCTTCCTGATGGCGTTATGGAATGGTATTCATTAAGAAAGTGAGGGCAAGCGGGGGTCTCGCTTGTGCAAGGGGTAAAAGTATGTTACCCAGATAGCGAAGTACGGGTCTGAGTCCTGTTCGAGGCTGAAGATTTGTCCGTAAGTCGCCATCATTGTGAGACTTTCGTATCGCGCACTGTGGCGAAATAATAGCAGTTGGCGAAACATCAAATCATATTAAGACAATTTTAATGGGAAGATAGACTACGCTTTACTGGATTAGTAGGAAAACATTTTTTCTGAACACTTCCGCGACTCGCTAAAAAGCAAATGTTTCACGTTTTATTACCGACTATACTAATGCAGAACTACTTTTCGGTCCCTTGCATTTCTCAAGGGGTGAAAAACATCGAATAAAAACAATTCACACATGGATCCCCATTAATGGTAAAAGTAGCGAAGAAACCGGTTGTGGTTTTTGTATGTTTTTGAATTCAGTCATACTAGAATGGAATTAGAATGACAGCAAGACCTTTTAGAGCTCGACGGTAACGGAGGAGTAGGTAAGAAGAGACTCAGTCTGTAAAAGGTGGAGAATGCATAGCGAGGAGCTCATGGGTGAAGAATGAGAAGCTAAGGCTGATCTTGGAACTATGAAAACGTTAGTGAACACCTCAATAAAAGAGAGGACGAATGACCATGGGTAAAAGGGGGACATCATGGTCGTACGAGAGTTACAAACATAAGTGAGGACCGAAAGGACTCCGAGGCCAACACCTTTAAAGTTCACGCTTTCTAATAACAGCTATTCAACTGATGCATGTATTTCAAGCAAGAAAAAAATAACAACATCAAAAAACTATGTATTACCGCAAAACTAAACAAAAAACACTACCCACCCATGTAAACACAAGCAAGACATGAAGCCACCTAGGCTACTTGCCAATATGGGAGCTGGGATTCCGACGAAATATAACAGAAATTAATGTAAGTCATAAAAAACTATTACCGTAAAGAACTCACGTACCGTAGCAGGGTAGATTCACCAACTTTTTGAAGAAATCCTTCTACTCTTGACTAATTATTGTAGAATAAAAAAACTATGTGAACAAATGTTGCATTTACATACGTGTGCTCATAAGATCAGCACCATCAAGAACCGATAACGATTCTGCTTTTGCATTTAAACGCTGCAGGTTTCTAGTGTATTAAGGGGAGTTTAAATCATTGCTATGATAGAAGGATTAGATGATGTAGTAAGAAATCGATTGCATAGATTGCCATAACATAAATTTGTGGGAATTTCTTTTTCGTTCAGCTGATACGACACCACTGAACGAGCAGTGTGCTGCTGCAATGCGGACGTATAGAACTACACTGCATGGGTGCAAATGGATGGTTAAACTCAACAATAACACACAATAATCATTCACAACCACATCTCTGAACAGATATTACTATTTATAACAAGGAAGACTTTCTATTTACGTAGAATGGAGGAGACTTTCTATTATTTTAGGAAGGACTCTAGTTCTGTTTGCACATTACCTTATTATCACATGAATATAGTGTCTTTGTCATCTATAAGGTGGTGGTTGTGGATGATGAGTGACACCTCGATAGACACTAGAATTCTCAATGGGATTAGCAGTTGTAGGTATTTGATGATGAACATTTCCAGGGTGACCAGAAACGAAATTGACTGACGTTGAACCGCTACCTGAATGGAGCTCTATGAACTCATTTGAAAGAAACTAATATGTATGAGGAATGCTATATATGATGTTCTATTCAAGACCATTCAAGCTATTATTTCTATATTATACATAGACATATTTTATCTCTACTTCCTCATTCCCTATTTTTTCTATAATAATTCTTCATTCCCGAAGGAGGAAGGTTCTTTCAGGAGTCCCCTGAAAAACAAATGCAGAATTGCCAGCTTAACGTCAAAACCACAGGCAACCTCTATATTACCTAAGTGTATTATTTTCAAAACAACTACCCAACATGATTTCGTCAATGGCTGCTTTCATAGTCCACGCTTTGGCGAGCGACCGATCGCTCGCCAAATCGTTGACTATGAGAGCAGCCAATGAACTTTTCCCAAGTTTTTTTCAGGTATATTCAAATGCAAAAATAGGTAATGAAACTCGTAAAAAGTCTAAACGTGGAAAACCGTTGGTTGTTACTATATACGAAAGTCTAATGAAAAGTAGACCTTACCGAGATGGGCTCTGCTCGATAGCGCATCAATTAATCTCTCCTTTATTGGACGAGAATCACCAGGAGGCACGACGAGCTGGCCAGATTGCTGGAAGAAAATATTTCCAAATGCGTAAGATCACCATCAGTGCCTTTTTTCAAGGGATGGGAAGGCATGTCAAAATAATCTTTCATTAGTAGTAGTCAGCAATCTTGAGGTCAGTTTCGTACCGAAAGCCTGTTGAAAATAACAGCATCGTCAGCTTCGCTTGTATATTGAAGCAATCTCAACAACTGAGAAGTATCTGATGTTCGCAATACAACCGATATGGCTTGCTCGACGGCTGAATTCAAAGGAAATTAGAAAATTTTGTTCAAGTTATAGTCTAAGAAAAATTGCTAGGAACAAAATGAATTTCTGATATTAATTCGTGTAACCTTCCGTCCTGCTAGGATTGACGGATGACGAATTCACGTAACCATTCGATGGGGAATTTCGCCGCCTGTCATAGTGTAGAGTGGCGGTAGGTGCAGGTGGACATGCAGATAGTTCCGACTCCTGTCCTTCGAACTGTTGGGTTCTCGGATTGATAGAACGTCTTTCCTTTCGCTGTTTCTTACTCCACAGCTCATGACAATCCTAAAGTATTGTATCTTGGAACTTGAGTACGTTTTCATTGAAGAAATACACAAACTAAAAAAAAAAACAAGTGTCAAACGCCGCCCTAGAGAATGTTTTCCCGATATACCCCCACTAGTAGAGATCCACAGTACTGAACAAAAGTCTGAAGGATTTCCAGCCTGTTCGACGATCCAAGATTGACAAGAATTGGGGAAAGAGATAACAGATGATAGAAGACGAGGTTACAGGGGCGGCGATCACAATTATTTAAGTAAAGAGAAGAAAAAAGAACCATAGTGATGCATTGAATTAAGCGGACGGTGATAAAAGAGCTTGCTCCGAAACTCGACACCGTTACTTAACCTTGTGAGAATCTAAGCAAAAAAAAAACTATACATTCTGAAATCACTAGAAAGCCTGATTACACAGTCATCCGTTTGAATCTTATCATTTTTCACAATAAGCAATTGTAAACTGTACGAACCTGATGCTGCGGCAATCTTAGAGGTGGGACGGTAGAGTAGTCGAAGTTCTTAATCCAGAAATGACTTATAGCGTCCTTTGCAGAAATCCGCCGTTTTGGATCAAGAAGCAGCATTTTGTCCATGAGGTCGACGGCCCCAGATGGAACGATTCTAAAAAATAAATGCTGGCTCAATTTAAACAAATGCCTCACATCAAAATAGGGTGGAATCTTTAGGGAATTTGAGTTTCAATTTTGCTAAAAGGAATGAAGAACCCCTACTCATGAAGTTATGTCTGATTGAGTAAATTGCTCTTCCAGTCTTACTTACCCGTATAAATTTCGTATGCAAAGCACGAATTAAATTCGCATGCAAAACACGAATTAACTCACTGAGCGAACTCTTCTCGGAGGCATCTGACATATTGCTTCTTACTCCTTAACGTATTATAAAGTGGCATCTTCTCAACATCCGGCCAATTTGCTGGACTGGGAGTTCCGCAAACCTAAACAAGCTTTCAGTATAAAACGTCTTCATACAAGCAAACTGATGAAGCAACCTACCCTTGAAATAAGATCCAGCTGCGCCGCTTCGTTATTCCCTTGGAAGAGAGGCTTCCGGGTAAAGAATTCGCCAAGAATACAGCTAAACGTCAAGACGTAATTTAGGTCCAACAAATGAATTGCTAGTTCCTGAATGAAATGCTTAAAAGCAACCAACCCAATGCTCCAAACATCAATTGCTGGACCATAATGCTCATCTCCAAGCAATAGTTCAGGTGGTCGGTACCACAGGGTGATCACTCGGTTCGTGTACAAACGTTCCTGATCAGAAGAGTAGTATCTTGCGAGACCGAAATCGGCGATCTTGAGCTCTCCTCTGCAATAGAATATTATGTGAAAAGAGCTACAAAGGTAATTCTTTCAGAGATCAACTACTCTCGCTTTAGAGTTTTACGCGAGCACACGTAATCAGATGAAGGTTTGGAACAGTCAGAGTTTATCGAATATAACTACACTAAATAAAGACGCCCAAATCTGTACTTTAGTAGTAGTGTAGTACTTTTCAATGCATACAAATGAACATAAACAAAATCATCTACTAATATACAGTATACATTTGTTTGGTGACTAATACACAAAGCCGTTTACTTATAGGTTCACTGCTTCCAACATCCTACTCCTCATCTGATCACACTGACCTTTCCTTCATAAGAGATAGTTGTATTCATAAATAAAACTGAATTACCTGTTATTCAAGAGAATATTACTACATTTAATGTCGCGATGCAAAAACCCAGCAGCATGACAGTACTCAAGTCCCTGCAAAAACAATGGCTCAAGACTGGCTTTCGATTAGTCAATGCATTTTGTTTACACAACCATAGCTTGCAGTGAATAAAAGCGAAAATTCCCTGCAACTTCTCTCTTTGCAAAATAATTTTACAAAACAGGACTGGGTATTTGTTTAGCAAAAAAAAAAGTTCTAATGGACTCACTAGAATCAATTGCTTGAAAAGGCTTCGAATCTGATCATTGTGAAAGTTGACGAGATGTGAGGCTTCCAGTAACCCCATTAAATCGTGATCCACGTACTCAAACACCAAATAGAAATTTGCTGAAAATTTTACATATATTCAATTATGCACCAGATGAACTGATAAGAACTAGGCGCACCTCTTTCCGTTCGCATATCAGCTGCGGACAGCTTGTCTGTGACAATGTCTATTAGCTTCACAACGTTTGCATGATTGAGTTGCCGCAATATCTTGATCTCGCGCACAGCAGTAATAGGAAAACCTTCCTTTTCATTCTCCAATCTGACTTTTTTCAAGGCCACTTGTTCACCTTAAACAATATTCAATCGATAACCAATCAATGTTCAGAAAATGTGTAGAAATCAAAAACAAACTAACCAGTTATCTTATCCCTCGCTTTATAGACTTGTCCGTAGGTGCCTTCACCGACTTGGTACAAAATTTCATACTTTTCAACAAAACCACTTCCCCATTCTTGAGAGAGATCAATGTCCCTCCGAATCTTATTGAGTACCCTGGAAACAGCGAGCGTTCGTTGAAATTTTTAATAAGAAGGAAGGAAGAAACGTACGTTGGCCGATCAAATCCTCTTTTCTTGATGTTGGAAACGTTAGGAATCGGTAATGCGGAACGTGTATGCGATGTCGAGCAACTTGGTCCTGACCCTGAGGGCACCGCCTGATCAACGTGCGAGTCAGAAGAAGTCACAGATCCTGGAGGCGGAAGGGGAGGTGGCGGTGCAGGTTCGAATGGAGGCGGTGGAAGAGGCGGTAAAGGAGGAGGAATGGGTATGCTGCCAAGAGATGGCAACATAATTGTGGCAGGTGGTGGGACTGGTACGTTCTGAAAAGCATTTTGAAGACAAGCAAATCAAGATGCAATTAGAAAACAGAAATGCTATTATACATTCAGGACCGAAGAAAAACATTATTAGCTCCCCACGGCTGACATGAGCCCTATTTTCTTACGCATTATGCCATCTATATGAGTCGGCATTCGATTACTTCGCTTCAGTACGCAATCGCGAAGTTTCTGCTTCCCAAATTTCAGCTTTTTGCTGTATTCTTGGAACTATCAGAATCCCTCACACCTTTTTTTGGAGCAGCAATGTATAAATTCATAAGATGATTAGTCGCTCACATGACTATCTTAGAAAATACTCACCTTTGCATCCGTAGAACACGACACACCGGGAACAGGAGGAATGGGCGGCGGAGGTAGATGCATACCAGATATAGTAGGAGGGGGAGGAACAGCAACCGGTACAACGAGCCCGCTTGCCGTAATCTGAAAGATGTGCAACCATTGATGAGGCACTTCACTTCACTGATTAGCAGAAATTATCGACTACTACGTCCTGATTTAGGAGAGTTCCTCAACGTACCAATTGATAATACTGTGCCGTTGCCGGATCAAGGAACGTAGGAGGAGGGCAGGCGACCGGCATCGAAATCGGCACTGCGGCTGGCTTCTTATCAATGTTCTTTGCATCCTGAAATCAGTTTGCAGGGAGGCGAGCACATCTTACAGCTTTCAGTTATTCATTTTTCTATCCCACGCAATCTATGCAATACCGGCAGAATGTAAACACCGAAAAGGGTTTGAGGTTCAGAGGGTGAACAGTTATTCGGTCTACTTGCTAGAAGAACAGACAATTTAACTGACGTAATTGGCAAAAAGCAGTTGCAAGATTGGTCTAATCTCCGAGTTAATAGAGAAGTTCGAATCGTTATACTTTACCAAGACACCATCTAACAGGACCTTGAGCTCGTTTACTTGGTCGGATAGGGAACAAATTTATAATTCTGGTATGATTATGAGTTATGATTTCCGCTTCAAAATTCGATAACTACTTTGCCACTTTACTAACTCTCACTCCAACTTTCTTTAACTCTCCATGTATAGTTGCAATGACTGGAGCGATTGTCGCAAATTAAAAGCTGCACTGGAGCGGTAAGGGCACTGGATGAAGCCCATGTGTTCACAGTGTCAAGAAAAAGTAAGCTAACGACTTGGAGCGCCCATTTGATGAAAAACTGGGCCCAAGCACCCATTCTTCACCAATCTACTCAGTGGGATGTTAGAAGCCTGACTGACTGGTGCTTGAGAATTTGGGAGCTTTTCTACACATAAAAAACTTTTCGAGAATGGACATAACTTAACATACAGAACGGGTTCCGTCACAGATTCTCGGACGACAACAGCGGTTTTGCGCTATCGATTTTTATTTTACTACACTTAATCTAATGAGCATTTGGAAGATTTTTCAAGTTTCAAGAAAAAAAAAAACGTACGTCACTGCTTGAGGAACTGGATGAGCTATTTCCCTTCCTTCGTTTTAGCTTGCGGTGTTTATCACGATTTCTTATAAGTGCATCAGCTGAGTTGCCGTGCTTTCGAACAAGCTCACCGAATAGAGTCGTCCTGTCACGTAGCCTGAAAATAAATGAGAAATAAAAAAGTAAGGTCACCATGATGCAACTCTCAAAAGAAGACTTGTTACAGAACATCATATGTGAGACGCGGTAGCTTGAAGATTGATGAGAATAAAATATTTACGAATTCTCTAAGCATTACCAACTACCCACTCACAAAACGAGAGTAACAATGACCAACCTGCTTATATGATTACCCGAAAAAAATGAACAGATTCTAAGCAACCTAAACCTCAACCCATAAAATTTCTTTTTTTGAGATAATTTTAAGAAAAAAGTAAAGGATAAAAAAGGTGTGATTTTTTTTTCTATAAGGATAAAGAAATTAACTGAATGCGCTAACATACGTTATTTCATCATCGCTACTGTCGCTGCTTGTTGATCGTCTTCTTCTTGATTTTCCACTTTTTCTTCTAACCGGGGTGCGAGATCGGTCACGCCTGCTTTTTCAACAAATACATAAAAAAAAAAGAACACAGAGACTTTTGTACAATAACGTAAAACGTTATTCCAACCATGGAAACCTGGCAAAGGATGCTGTTGCTCACCTATTTCGTTTCTCTTTCTTGCCCTTCCTATCGTCTCGATCCCGCCTTTTGAAACGGTCTCTCCCATTTTGGCTTCTGTCCCGATCTCGTCGAGAACGCGAGCGTGATCTTGACCGGCGGCTAAACAAGAGCTCGACTTAAATCGTAAAAAAATTGGGACAATGCAGAGGAAATAAGACAAATAAGAATGCATCGTTAATACTGATAACCGCGATTAGTTCTTTTTTTTATTCCACAGCGCGTCATTATTACACCGCCAAAATGAAGGAAGGGTCGCGTACGTGCTCTGCTCTCTTCAGAAAAAGCAGGCCGCACGGCAAAGCCTTACGCGCAGACATGAATGACCCTTCAAAGTAGCACCCCTGACTTTTTACGTCCAATCTCCCAATCTGAACATCCAATTCAAAAAAGCTTACATCTTATCAAGAAAAAAACTCTTTCAAAGCAGATAGGGGATGAGAGTAGCCCTGGATTATAGCTAGGAGTTTCTTCGCTCAGGCCAAACAGCTACCACGCAGACAATGGCAAAATCAGGTCCTACTCAGACCTCGACAGTGTGTTTTCCAGGCTAGAACCCTTTCAAAATTTTTCTTTCATGATGTGACAGCAAATAGCACGACCTGCAGTCTTTGAAACTAAGTTGGAGTAGGCGTAAATGCCATTGCAGGCAACGATGAACTACATAAGCCGCAAATAGGAAATGAAGGAAACGAAATGGCAAAGACAAGAATACTTAGCGCAGCCAAATGGTATGCGAAGAAGGGAAGTTTAACTTATACAGCTAAGCATTACTTTTGTATGATCGAACGCGTAATTCAACTTTTTCAAAAGCACAGCTGCCCTTCCAAGTAACCTGCTGCACCATTTGGTCAGGTGGTAATTCCCAAAAAACTGGTCTCTACACTGCAACCACAATGAGCTGTTGAAAATAGGTCCAAATCAATCAAGGTACACTAAGTTTAACGCAAGAGCGGTTGCCAAGGCTTTTACGCCCTTCCCTCTACCCAAAGCCTCTTACTTATCTCAAGCTGGGATATTCGTTTACAAATAAAATGACCACACACCTGCTACCACGGTCACGTTCGAAAGGAGGTGAAGCCGACGGCGTCCGTTCTCGTTTCCTTCTTTTGTGTGATCTATGACGTGGGCTTGGCGTTCTATCCCTGTCCTTGGACCCTCTGCGTGATCTTCTCTCGTGTGATGAACTCGGCGAAATATCCATGTCTGAAAAAGAGATGAGTAACTAGTTAGAAGAAGTGTTATCAGGGAAAGAAACTCACCAGGTTGATCTCTTGAGACTCGTCTACCGTTTGATGATTTCACAGAACCCGCCGGCAGGTCGTTAGAATTGGACTCTTCACTGACCGAGTCAAAACTCATGGCCAACTTTGAAAAGAGATGTTTTTCCTCAACTAGTTAGTATACATCCAAATAGGTCCAAACGAGTTTATAGGCTGCTTCCGGGAAACACAGCCAAAAAAACACGTTTACGTATTATGGCAGGCACCTATGGATGTGTATCGATTAAATTGTGACAGGAAACTTCACCAAGTCATTTAATGAGTAGGGAAGTAGCAACAATAAGATTAGCTTGTGAAAAGTTAGAAGAGATACTTCAGAATCGCCCACTAAAAAGGAACCGTGAAAAATCCACTAAGATTGGAAAATTTACGAGGAGCCGTCGGTGACGAGAAATGATCCGGCGGACGCATTGAAGGGCTCCGCCCTCGGCGAGGTTTTCGATGCGGGACCGCTTTTGGGCGCTGTCCACCCGTGTACACGCTTTACGAAATTTGCCAAACAGCTATGAACTTTTCTAATTCCATGTATAAGCACTAAAATCTTATTATAGCTGGCAATTAGGCTGACATATCGGTATGAGGTTATGTAGGGTGGCCTCACAAAGATGGAAAAAGAGGGTAAACTGGCCTAGCTTACCCCTAGAGATCCTATCATTCAATTCAAACTTTGAGAAAAGATTTGTTAAATGAGTGAGTCGCATAGGGTATGCTGATCTCTATAGGCGATGGCACTAGCTCTAAATAAGATCCACAACAACTGATCCGTACCAATTTGCGTTCTTTCTCCCGAACGATTTGAAAACATACAGTAATCGCAAGCTATAGCAAAACAAATATATTTGAGAAATCACGATGCAACGAATCAGATGGGTTTTTTGATAATCTTCCCAAAATGTTCGATAATAGGCTACCGCTTAATTGTGCGCGGCGCGTCGTGTCTATCGCGAATGGGGCGCGGTATCTTCCTGCTGTTGCAAGCTATGCCCTTCGCCAAATTATGGGATGAGAAGTCGATAGATCTAAAGAGCGTAACTCAACAGCACCGACTCAGAAGCAGAAGGTAACGAGAAGTTATCTAGGGACGAATTACCGGGAATTCTGAGAAAAAAGCGGAATTTGCTTGAAGTTTTTCTGTGAGGATTATTTCTGATGGGCTGTGCAAATGTGGAAGGAGTTAGCTACTAAAACAGAGAACACCTAGGTAGAGTCATACCATCAAGTGGGGAGTGGCTTTTACGGAATGGTTGAAAATAACGGCGAGAAAATATAGAGAACTTATAACCCAATTACAGTGGCATGGCTTACTCTGCCAGGTGCCAGGTGAAGGCAATAAGTAGGCGGAACAACTAATGTCGGGAAATGAAGGCAAATGTCGTAACAGTTTATCTTACGGGAGTACACCTGCCAAAGGAATCGGCCCCCGGCCTGTGTGAACTGTATTGGATAAGGATAAAGGATAAAGAATAAAGTTTCTGGCGTTAATCAATCCCGTTTGAGGAATGCGCCCACGCATTCGACTTCCATTCAGAATCGTTGTGGCGTAATGAATGCGTATGTGGCCTATACAATGACTTGTGGTGACCAAA